ACACACACAGTGACACACACACAGGGTCACACAGATCGTGACCTTGCCTTGTGTGACCCCCTCCATCCCCTTCCCTCCCCCCCCATGCCCCCCAGGAGGCTGGTGAGGCTGGTGAAGTTGGTGCAGGTGGTGAGGGTGGTGCAGGTGGTGAGGGTGGTGAGGGTGGTGAGGGTGGTGAGGGTGGTGAGGGTGGTGAGTGCTGCTACTGGCCCAGTGCGGGTGGTGCACTGCTGATCGGCGCCTTCCAGGTGACCCTCACCAGCTGCACGGAGCCGGCGCCAGGCATCACCAGACGCTCGCTCAGCGTCAGCTGCATGCACGTGAGCATGCCTGGGGCTGTGTGGGGCTGTGGGGGGTTAGCCTGGGGCTGTGTGGGGCTGTGGGGGGTTAGCCTGGGGCTGTGGGGTTAGCCTGGGGCTGTGTGGGGTTAGCCTGGGGCTGTGTGGGGTTAGCCTGGGGCTGTGTGGGGTTAGCCTGGGGCTGTGGGAGGTTAGCCTGGGGCTGTGTGGGGCTGTGGGGTTAGCCTGGGGCTGTGGGGTTAGCCTGGGGCTTTGTGGGGTTAGCCTGGGGCTTTGTGGGGTTAGCCTGGGGCTGTGTGGGGTTAGCCTGGGGCTTTGTGGGGCTGTGTGGGGCTGTGTGGGGCTGTGGGGGGTTAGCCTGGGGCTTTGTGGGGTTAGCCTGGGGCTGTGTGGGGTTAGCCTGGGGCTGTGGGAGGTTAGCCTGGGGCTGTGTGGGGCTGTGGGGTTAGCCTGGGGCTGTGGGGTTAGCCTGGGGCTGTGGGGTTAGCCTGGGGCTGTGTGGGGCTGTGTGGGGTTAGCCTGGGGCTGTGTGGGGTTAGCCTGGGGCTGTGTGGGGCTGTGGGGTTAGCCTGGGGCTGTGGGGTTAGCCTGGGGCTGTGTGGGGCTGTGGGGTTAGCCTGGGGCTGTGTGGGGTTAGCCTGGGGCTGTGTGGGGCTGTGGGGTTAGCCTGGGGCTGTGGGAGGTTAGCCTGGGGCTGTGTGGGGCTGTGGGGTTAGCCTGGGGCTGTGTGGGGCTGTGGGGTTAGCCTGGGGCTGTGTGGGGCTGTGTGGGGTTAGCCTGGGGCTGTGTGGGGCTGTGGGGTTAGCCTGGGGCTGTGGGGGGCTGTGGGGTTAGCCTGGGGCTGTGGGAGGTTAGCCTGGGGCTGTGTGGGGCTGTGTGGGGCTGTCTGTGGGGTTAGCCTGGGGCTGTGTGGGGCTGTGTGGGGCTGTGTGGGGCTGTGGGGGGCTGTGTGGTGCTGTGTGGGACTGTGTGGGGCTGTGTGTGGGGTTAGCCTGGGGCTGTGTGGGGTTAGCCTGGGGCTGTGTGGGGCTGTGTGGGGCTGTGTGGGGTTAGCCTGGGGCTGTGTGGGGCTGTGTGGGGCTGTGTGGGGTTAGCCTGGGGCTGTGTGGGGCTGTGTGGTGCTGTGTGGGGCTGTGGGGTTAGCCTGGGGCTGTGTGGGGTTAGCCTGGGGCTGTGTGGGGCTGTGTGGTGCTGTGTGGGGCTGTGTGGTGCTGTGTGGGGCTGTGTGGGGCTGTGTGGGGCTGTGTGGGGCTGTGTGGGGTTAGCCTGGGGCTGTGTGGGGCTGTGTGTGTGTGTGTCTGTGTGTGTGTGTCTGCGTGTGTCTGTGTGGCTGTGTGTGTGTGTCTGTGTGTGTATGTATGTAATGTGTGTGATGTGTGTGATGTGTGTTATGTGTGTAATGTGTGTGTGTAATGTGTGTGTGTGTAACTGTCTGTAATTGTGTGTGTCTGTGTGTGTGTTTCTGTGTGTGTGTCACTGTGTGTGTGTCACTGTGTGTGTGTGTCACTGTGTGTGTCACTATGTGTGTGTCACTGTGTGTGTGTCACTGTGTGTGTGTCACTGTGTGTGTGACTGTGTGTGTGTGTGTGTCTGTGTGTGTCACTGTGTGTGTGTCACTGTGTGTGTGTTAGTGTGTGTCACTGTGTATCACTGTGTGTGTGTTACTGTGTGCCACTGTGTGTGTGTCACTGTGTGTGTGTGTCACTGTGTGTGTGTGTCACTGTGTGTGTGTGTCACTGTGTGTCACTGTGTGTGTCACTGTGTGTGTGTCACTGTGTGTGTATGTCTGTGTATATGTGTCACTGTGTGTGTGTCACTGTGTGTGTCACTGTGTGTGTGTGTTACTGTGTGTGTGTGCCACTGTGTGTGTGTCACTGTGTGTGTGTGTCACTGTGTGTGTGTGTCACTGTGTGTGTGTCACTGTGTGTGTGTGTCACTGTGTGTGTGTCTGTGTGTGTGTCACTGTGTGTGTGTGTCAGTGTGTGTGTGTGTGTGTCACTGTGTGTGTCACTGTGTGTGTGTGTCACTGTGTGTGTGTCACTGTGTGTGTGTCACTGTGTGTGTGTCTCTCTGTGTGTGTCTGTGTGTGTGTGTGTGTCACTGTGTGTGTCTCTGTGTGTGTGTCACTGTGTGTGTGTCACTGTGTGTGTGTGTCACTGTGTGTGTGTCACTGTGTGTGTGTGTAACTGTGTGTCTCTGTGTGTGTGTGTGTGTCACTGTGTGTGTCTCTGTGTGTGTGTCACTGTGTGTGTGTGTCACTGTGTGTGTCACTGTGTGTGTCTCTCTGTGTGTGTCTGTGTGTGTGTGTGTGTCACTGTGTGTGTCTCTGTGTGTGTGTCACTGTGTGTCTGTGTGTGTGTCACTGTGTGTGTGTCACTGTGTGTGTGTCACTGTGTGTGTGTGTCACTGTGTGTGTGTGTCACTGTGTGTCTCTGTGTGTGTGTGTGTGTCACTGTGTGTGTGTCTCTGTGTGTGTGTCTGTGTGTCACTGTGTGTGTGTCTCTGTGTGTATCACTGTGTGTGTCACTGTGTGTGTGTCACTGTGTGTGTCACTGTGTGTGTGTCACTGTGTGTGTGTGCGTCACTGTGTGTGTGTCACTGTGTGTGTCTCTGTGTGTGTGTGTCACTGTGTGTGTGTCTCTGTGTGTGTGTCACTGTGTGTGTGTCTCTGTGTGTGTGTCACTGTGTGTGTGTCACTGTGTGTGTGTCTCTGTGTGTGTGTCACTGTGTGTGTGTCTCTGTGTGTGTGTCACTGTGTGTGTGTCACTGTGTGTCTGTGTCACTGTGTGTGTGTGTCACTGTGTGTGTGTGTGTGTCACTGTGTGTGTCACTGTGTGTGTGTCACTGTGTGTGTGTGTGTCACTGTGTGTGTGTCTCTGTGTGTGTGTCACTGTGTGTGTGTCACTGTGTGTGTGTGTCACTGTGTGTGTGTGTCACTGTGTGTGTGTGTCACTGTGTGTGTGTCTCTGTGCGTGTGTCTCTGTGTGTCTGTGTGTGTGTGTCACTGTGTGTGTGTCACTGTGTGTGTGTCTCTGTGTGTGTGTCCAGGGCCGCCGTGAGGTCTCACAGCTGCAGTGCCCTGCCCAGCGGCTACTCAGCTCCCCGGCCCTTCTCTGCACTCTGGCCGAGGAGTTGGGGCCAGCTTTGGGGACCCCTCCAATCCTCGTCCACTGCGCGTGAGTCCACATAGGAGCTGATCTGCCCTCTGACCATCGACTTGTCATCCGTAAGATGCGCCTGCCATTCTTCCACTCCGGTGGTGGGTGTACACCCAGGACCCCATTCAAACCCACAGTGGGCCTGGTCTCAGCTAGCTGATGATAGTTTGCAAGAGGGAATTTCATCATCGCCTGCGGCTGGGGTTGGCATCGTCCCCGACTCCTCCTGCTGATGTCGAGGGTAAATGGGCGAGGTTTAGGACTGTGACTCATGCAGCTGCAATGGCTGCTTTGGGTACGCGGTCCAGACCTCCCCAGAGACCCTGGCTGACAGAGGAGGTGTTCAGGATGGTTGAGAAAAAGCGACAGGCCCACTGTCATCGGCTACAGAATCCCACGTCGGAGAATGTGGAGGCTTACCGCAGCCTTCGCTCGGAGGTTCGGAGAGCCGTGAGGCACTGCAAGGATGGGTGGTGGTCACGGGTTGCTGAGGAGATGGAGTCTGCCTCAGTGGCCCGCGATCACAAATCTCTATTTAACTCCATCAAAAAAGTAACCTGCAGCGCCACACCTATTACCATCATTAGGGGAAAAAACGGTGATCCAATCTCCGACCCCCAGCAACAGGTTTGCAGCTTTGCTGAGCATTTCTGTGAGGTCCTGGGGGAGGGAAAATCCCTCAAGCGAAATGCTGAGGAAGGGTGGCGTTTGTGCACAGACTGCCCTATATGACATCATAACAACAGTCTGGACCACTGGACAGGTTCCGCAGGATTTGAAGGATGCCCTGGTGGTCCCCCTTTCTAAGAAGGGGGACCGCACAGACTGTAACAACTACAGGGGCATCTCACTCCTCAGTGTGCCGGGAAAGGTACTGGCAAGGATTATTCAACATCGCCTCGCCAGGCACGCTGAGAGGCTTGCGGAGCCCCAATGCGGTTTCAGGAAAGGGCGGTCCTGCACAGATGCCATATTTTCTGTCCGTCTGCTACAGCAGAGGTGTAGGGAATTCCAACAAGACCTACATCTCTGCATTATTGACCTGGTAAAGGCCTATGATACCATCAGTAGGCCTGGGCTCTGGGTTGTTATTCGTGCTTTTGGAGTACCTGACCCTATGCTCACCATCATTAAGAACCTTCATGATAGTGAGCGGGCCCGGGTAAAACTACGTGGCCGTGAGTCAGAGCCATTCCCTGTACACCTTGGGGTGCGACAGGGATGTCCTCTGGCTCCCACATTATGTAACATCTATTTTGACCAGGTAGTTCGTGAAGCCTTCAATAGCTGTACCGGGGGAATCTCCATATGGTACAGATACAATGGGAGGCTGATCGATGCCCGGGTGCGGTCAAGGGATGGCTCCCTATTGCTCAACCACGTTATGTATGCTGATGATTTGGTAATAGCTGCTCATTCAGAGGAGGAGTTGGAGACGCTGCTGCTGAGACTGGAGCGTGCCACTAAGAGATGGGGCCTTACCATCAGCCCCACCAAAACTAAGCACCTGCCTGGGTATTTTGTACCATCGGACACTCCACCCCCACAACTCCCAATCGGTGATGGGGCATTTGTGGAGAGAGTGGAGAGTTTCCCATACCTGGGAAGTGTGCTTATGACCGGCTCCAGTTTAACAGCAGAGGTCTCACTCCGAATCAGTCGAGCAGCAATATCTTTTCATCGGTTGCGTAACGCTGTGTGGAAGCTACCTGGTCTGTCGCTCCGCACTAAGCTTCAGGTCTTCTCGGCCACGGTCATTCCCTCCCTTCTCTACGCTTGCGAAACGTGGACCCCCCTAATGGAACATCTTCGTCGGTTAGAAACATTTAGGCTGGCCTGCCTACGATCCATCCTGGGTTTAACCAGACTGGATTGGGTGAGGAGCTCACAAATCCTTGAAAGATCTGGGCAAGGTCCCATCAGTGAGCTCCTCCGGCGGGCAAGGCTGCGATGGCTGGGTCATGTAGCCCGCATGCCCAGCCACCGCATGCCGAAACAGCTTTTGTTTGGCCGGATTGAGGGGGCTAAGCGGGCGCGGTATGGGCTAGAGAAGAGATGGAGTGATGTGGTACAGGAGGACGTGGAGCTGAGTGGACTTGCCGATGACCGGTACCAGCGGTGTCAAGATCGGCCTCTGTGGAGGAGGCTCGTGAAGGATGCTACTGGGCAGTTGGAGGTAGTCGCCCTCCAACAACAACGGAGGGCGGAGGAGCGACGCTCACAACAACGAGCGGAGCGCCGGGTGGCTAAAGCACAGTAGGTTGGCACAGTAGGGGGCACAGGTGGTGCACCAGCCAGTCATCTCAGTCAGTCGACCCATGGCACCTGGGTCTGCCCCGTGACCTCTTGCCAGCGGGCGTTCGACACTTCACGTGGCCTCAGGGTGCACATAGCCTGGCACAAGCGTCGTGGTGACGTCACCGCCACTTAGTGGCGAATGGCGGTTGTTGTTGTTGTTGTTGTTGTGTGTGTCTATGTGTGTGTGTGTCTATGTGTGTGTGTTTATGTGTGTGTGTCTACAGAGACGGAAGCTCTATGAGCCCTACTGTCTGTGCTGCGCTGTCCGTGCGCTCCATGGCTCTGGGCGAGTGCCGTGTCGATGTTTTCACCACGGCCAAGCGCGTCCGCAGGCAGCGGTCAGGAGCTCTTCCATCGCTGGTAACCCGCTCCTCACCCCCCTCGCGACCTCCTGTAGACCAGGCGAGGTAGTCAACATCTCTCAGGATCCAGGATCGAACCCACGACCTCCTGTAGACCAGGCGAGGTAGTCAACATCTCTCAGGGTCCAGGATGGAACCCACAACCTCCTGTATACCAGGCGAGGTAGTCAACATCTCCCTGGGGCCGGGATGGAACCCACGACCTCCTGTAGACCTGGCGAGGTAGTCAACATCTACCAAGACCTCCTGTAGACCAGGCGAGGTAGTCAACATCTCTCAGGGTCCAGGATGGAACCCACAACCTCCTGTAGACCAGGCGAGGTGGTCAACATCTACCACGACCTCCTGTAGATCAGGCGAGGTAGTCAACATCTACCACGACCTCCTGTAGACCAGGCGAGGTAGTCAACATCTACCACGACCTCCTGTATACCATGCGAGGTAGTCAACATCTACCACGACCTCCTGTAGACCAGGCGAGGTAGTCAACATCTACCACGACCTCCTGTAGATCAGGCGAGGTAGTCAACATCTACCACGACCTCCTGTAGACCAGGCGAGGTAGTCAACATCTCTCAGGGTCCAGGATCGAACCCACGACCTCCTATAGACCAGGCGAGGTAGTCAACATCTCTCAGGGTCCAGGATGGAACCCACAACCTCCTGTAGACCAGGCGAGGTAGTCAACATCTACCAGGACCTCCTGTATACCAGGCGAGGTAGTCAACATCTACCACGACCTCCTGTAGACCAGGCCAGGTAGTCAACATCTACCACGACCTCCTGTAGACCAGGCGAGGTAGTCAACATCTACCACGACCTCCTGTAGACCAGGCGAGGTAGTCAACATCTACCACGACCTCCTGTAGACCAGGCGAGGTAGTCAACATCTCTCAGGGTCCAGGATGGAACCCACGACCTCCTGTAGACCAGCCGAGGTAGTCAACATCTACCACGACCTCCTGTAGACCAGGCGAGGTAGTTACCATCTACCACGACCTCCTGTAGACCAGGCGAGGTAGTCAACATCTACCACGACCTCCTGTAGATCAGGCGAGGTAGTCAACATCTACCACGACCTCCTGTAGACCAGGCGAGGTAGTCAACATCTCTCAGGGTCCAGGATCGAACCCACGACCTCCTGTAGACCAGGCGAGGTAGTCAACATCTCTCAGGGTCCAGGATGGAACCCACAACCTCCTGTAGACCAGGCGAGGTAGTCAACATCTACCACGACCTCCTGTATACCAGGCGAGGTAGTCAACATCTACCACGACCTCCTGTAGACCAGGCGAGGTAGTCAACATCTACCACGACCTCCTGTAGACCAGGCCAGGTAGTCAACATCTACCACGACCTCCTGTAGACCAGGCGAGGTAGTCAACATCTACCAAGACCTCCTGTAGACCAGGCGAGGTAGTCAACATCTCTCAGGGTCCAGGATGGAACCCACAACCTCCTGTAGACCAGACGAGGTGGTCAACATCTACCACGACCTCCTGTAGATCAGGCGAGGTAGTCAACATCTACCACGACCTCCTGTAGACCAGGCGAGGTAGTCAACATCTACCACGACCTCCTGTATACCATGCGAGGTAGTCAACATCTACCACGACCTCCTGTAGACCAGGCGAGGTAGTCAACATCTACCACGACCTCCTGTAGATCAGGCGAGGTAGTCAACATCTACCACGACCTCCTGTAGACCAGGCGAGGTAGTCAACATCTCTCAGGGTCCAGGATCGAACCCACGACCTCCTATAGACCAGGCGAGGTAGTCAACATCTCTCAGGGTCCAGGATGGAACCCACAACCTCCTGTAGACCAGGCGAGGTAGTCAACATCTACCAGGACCTCCTGTATACCAGGCGAGGTAGTAAACATCTACCACGACCTCCTGTAGACCAGGCCAGGTAGTCAACATCTACCACGACCTCCTGTAGACCAGGCGAGGTAGTCAACATCTACCACGACCTCCTGTAGACCAGGCGAGGTAGTCAACATCTACCACGACCTCCTGTAGACCAGGCGAGGTAGTCAACATCTCTCAGGGTCCAGGATGGAACCCACGACCTCCTGTAGACCAGCCGAGGTAGTCAACATCTACCACGACCTCCTGTAGACCAGGCGAGGTAGTTACCATCTACCACGACCTCCTGTAGACCAGGCGAGGTAGTCAACATCTACCACGACCTCCTGTAGATCAGGCGAGGTAGTCAACATCTACCACGACCTCCTGTAGACCAGGCGAGGTAGTCAACATCTCTCAGGGTCCAGGATCGAACCCACGACCTCCTGTAGACCAGGCGAGGTAGTCAACATCTCTCAGGGTCCAGGATGGAACCCACAACCTCCTGTAGACCAGGCGAGGTAGTCAACATCTACCACGACCTCCTGTATACCAGGCGAGGTAGTCAACATCTACCACGACCTCCTGTAGACCAGGCGAGGTAGTCAACATCTACCACGACCTCCTGTAGACCAGGCCAGGTAGTCAACATCTACCACGACCTCCTGTAGACCAGGCGAGGTAGTCAACATCTACCACGACCTCCTGTAGACCAGGCGAGGTAGTCAACATCTACCACGACCTCCTGTATACCAGGCGAGGTAGTCAACATCTCTCAGGGTCCAGGATGGAACCCACGACCTCCTGTAGACCAGCCGAGGTAGTCAACATCTACCACGACCTCCTGTAGACCAGGCGAGGTAGTTACCATCTACCACGACCTCCTGTAGACCTGGCGAGGTAGTCAACATCTACCACGACCTCCTGTAGATCAGGCGAGGTAGTCAACATCTACCACGACCTCCTGTAGACCAGGCGAGGTAGTCAACATCTCTCAGGGTCCAGGATCGAACCCACGACCTCCTGTAGACCAGGCGAGGTAGTCAACATCTCTCAGGGTCCAGGATGGAACCCACAACCTCCTGTAGACCAGGCGAGGTAGTCAACATCTACCACGACCTCCTGTATACCAGGCGAGGTAGTCAACATCTACCACGACCTCCTGTAGACCAGGCGACGTAGTCAACATCTACCACGACCTCCTGTAGACCAGGCCAGGTAGTCAACATCTACCACGACCTCCTGTAGACCAGGCGAGGTAGTGAACATCTACCACGACCTCCTGTAGACCAGGCGAGGTAGTCAACATCTACCACATCCTCCTGTAGACCAGGCGAGGTAGTCAACATCTCTCAGGGTCCAGGATGGAACCCACGACCTCCTGTAGACCAGCCGAGGTAGTCAACATCTACCACGACCTCCTGTAGACCAGGCGAGGTAGTTACCATCTACCACGACCTCTTGTAGACCAGGCGAGGTAGTCAACATCTACCACGAACTACTGTAGACCAGGCGAGGTAGTCAACATCTCACAGGGTCCAGGATCGAACCCACGACCTCCTGTAGACCAGGCGAGGTAGTCAACATCTACCACGACCTCCTGCGAACCAGGCGAGGTAGTCAACATCTCACAGGGTCCAGGATCGAACCCACGACATCCTGTAGACCGGGCGAGGTAGTCAACATCTACCACGACCTCCTGCGATCCAGGCGAGGTAGTCAACATCTCACAGGGTCCAGGATCGAACCCACGACCTCCTGTAGACCAGGCGAGGTAGTCAACATCTACCACGACCTCCTGTGTACCAGGCGAGGTAGTCAACATCTCACAGGGTCCAGGATCGAACCCACAACCTCCTGTATACCAGGCGAGGTAGTCAACATCTCACAGGGTCCAGCATCGAACCCACAAGCTCCTGTAGACCAGGCGAGGTAGTCAACATTTCACAGGGTCCGGGATCGAACCCACAACCTCCTGCGTACCGGGCGAGGTAGTCAAAATCTCACAGGGTCCGGGTCGAACCCACAACCTCCTGTAGACCAGGCGAGGTAGTCAACATCTCTCAGGGTCCAGGATCGAACCCACGACCTCCTGTAGACCAGGCGAGGTAGTCAACATCTCTCAGGGTCCAGGATGGAACCCATGACCTCCTGTAGACCAGGCAAGGTAGTCAACATCTACCACGACCTCCTGTAGACCAGGCGAGGTAGTTACCATCTACCACGACCTCCTGTAGACCAGGCGAGGTAGTCAACATCTACCACGAACTACTGTAGACCAGGCGAGGTAGTCAACATCTCACAGGGTCCAGGATCGAACCCACGACCTCCTGTAGACCAGGCGAGGTAGTCAACATCTACCACGACCTCCTGCGAACCAGGCGAGGTAGTCAACATCTCACAGGGTCCAGGATCGAACCCACGACATCCTGTAGACCAGGCGAGGTAGTCAACATCTACCACGACCTCCTGCGAACCAGGCGAGGTAGTCAACATCTCACAGGGTCCAGGATCGAACCCACGACCTCCTGTAGACCAGGCGAGGTAGTCAACATCTACCACGACCTCCTGTGTACCAGGCGAGGTAGTCAACATCTCACAGGGTCCAGGATCGAACCCACAACCTCCCGTAGACCAGGCGAGGTAGTCAACATCTCACAGGGTCCAGCATCGAACCCACAAGCTCCTGTAGACCAGGCAAGGTAGTCAACATCTCACAGGGTCCAGGATCGAACCCACAACCTCCTGCGTACCGGGCGAGGTAGTCAAAATCTCACAGGGTCCGGGTCGAACCCACAACCTCCTGTAGACCAGGCGAGGTAGTCAACATCTCTCAGGGTCCAGGATCGAACCCACGACCTCCTGTAGACCAGGCGAGGTAGTCAACATCTCTCAGGGTCCAGGATGGAACCCACGACCTCCTGTAGACCAGGCAAGGTAGTCAACATCTACCACAACCTCCTGTAGACCAGGCGAGGTAGTTACCATCTACCACGACCTCCTGTAGACCAGGCGAGGTAGTCAACATCTACCACGAACTCCTGTAGACCAGGCGAGGTAGTCAACATCTCACAGGGTCCAGGATCGAACCCACGACCTCCTGTAGACCAGGCGAGGTAGTCAACATCTCACAGGGTCCAGGATCGAACCCACGACCTCCTGTAGACCAGGCGAGGTAGTCAACATCTACCACGACCTCCTGTGTACCAGGCGAGGTAGTCAACATCTCACAGGGTCCAGGATCGAACCCACAAACTCCTGTAGACCAGGCGAGGTAGTCAACATCTCACAGGGTCCAGCATCTAACCCACAAACTCCTGTAGGCCAGGCGAGGTAGTCAACATCTCACAGGGTCCAGCATCGAACCCACAAGCTCCTGTAGACCAGGCGAGGTAGTCAACATCTCACAGGGTCCAGGATCGAACCCACAACCTCCTGCATACCGGGCGAGATAGTCAACATCTCACAGGGTCCTGGGTCGAACCCACAACCTCCTGTAGACCAGGCGAGGTAGTCAACATCTCTCAGGGTCCAGGATCGAACTCACGACCTCCTGCATACCAGGCGAGGTAGTCAACATCTCACAGGGTCCAGGATCGAACCCACAACATCCTGTAGACCAGGCGAGGTAGTCAACATCTCACAGGGTCCAGGATCGAACCCACAACCTCCTGTATACCAGGCGAGGTAGTCAACATCTCACAGGGTCCAGGATCGAACTCACGACCTCCTGCGTACCGGGCGAGGTAGTCAACATCTCACAGGATCCGGGGTCGAACCCACAACCTCCTGTAGACCATGCGAGGTAGTCAACATCTCTCAGGGTCCAGGATCGAACCCACGACCTCCTGTATACCAGGCGAGGTAGTCAACATCTCCCTGGGTCCGGGATGGAACCCACGACCTCCTGCGTACCAGGCGAGGTAGTCAACATCTCCCAGGGTCCGGGATAGAACCCACAACCTCCTGCGCACCAGGCGAGGTAGTCAGCATCTCCCTGGGTCCGGGATGGAACCCACAACCTCCTGTAGACCATGCGAGGTAGTTAACATCTCCCTAGGTCCGGGATGGAACCCACGACTTCCTGCGTACCAGGCGAGGTAGTCAACATCTCCCAGGGTCCGGGATGGAACCCACGACCTCCTGTAGACCAGACGAGGTAGTTAACATCTCCCAGGGTCCGGGATGGAACCTACGACCTCCTGTATACCGGGAGAGGTAGTCAACATCTCCCTGGGTCCGGGATGGAACCCGCGACCTCCTGTAGACCAGGCGAGGTAGTCAACACCTCACAGGGTCCCGGATCGAACCCACGACCTCCTGTATACCAGGCGAGGTAGTTAACATCTCCCTGGGTCCGGGATGGAACCCACAACCTCTTGCGTACTAGGCGAGGTAGTCAACATCTCACAGGGTCCGGGATGGAATCCACACACTCCTGTATAACAGGCGAGGTAGTCAACATCTCCCTGGGTCCGGGATGGAACCCACGACCTCCTGCGCACCAGGCGAGGTAGTCAACATCTCACAGGGTCCGGGATGGAACCCGCGACCTCCTGTAGACCAGGCGAGGTAGACAACATCTCCCAGGGTCCGGGATGGAATCCACAGACTCCTGTAGACCAGGCGAGGTAGTTAACATCTCCCAGGGTCCGGGATGGAACCCACGACCTCCTGTATACCAGGCGAGGTAGTCAACATCTCACAGGGTCCGGGATAGAACCCACAAGCTCCTATAGACCAGGCGAGGTAGTCAACATCTCACAGGGTCCAGGATCGAACCCACGACCTCCTGTGTACCAGGCGAGGTAGTCAACATCTCACAGGGTCCGGGATCGAACCCGCGACCTCCTGCGTACCAGGCGAGGTAGTCAACATCTCACAGGGTCCTGGATGGAACCCACGAACCTCCTGCACACCAGGCGAGGTAGTCAACATCTCACAGGGTCCGGGATGGAACCCACGACCTCCTGCGTATCAGGCGAGGTAGTCAACATCTCCCAGGGTCCGGGATGGAACCCACGACCTCCTGGATACCAGGCGAGGTAGTCAACATCTCACAGGGTCCGGGATGGAACCCACAACCTCCTGCGTACCAGGCGAGGTATTCAACTTCTCACAGGGTCCGGGATGGAACCCACGACCTCCTGCGTACCAGGCGAGGTAGTCAACATCTCCCAGGGTCCAGGATGGAACCCACGACCTCCTGCGTACCGGGCGAGGTAGTCAACATCTCACAGGGTGCGGGATGGAACCCACGACCTCCTGTGTACCGGGCGAGGTAGTCAACATCTCACAGGGTCCGGGATCGAACCCGCGACCTCCTGCGTACCAGGCGAGGTAGTCAACATCTCACAGGGTCCAGGATGGAACCCACGAACCTCCTGCACACCAGGCGAGGTAGTCAACATCTCACAGGGTCCGGGATGGAACCCACGACCTCCTGCGTATCAGGCGAGGTAGTCAACATCTCCCAGGGTCCGTGATGGAACCCACGACCTCCTGGATACCAGGCGAGGTAGTCAACATCTCACAGGGTCCGGGATGGAACCCACAACCTCCTGCGTACCAGGCGAGGTATTCAACTTCTCACAGGGTCCGGGATGGAACCCACGACCTCCTGCGTACCAGGCGAGGTAGTCAACATCTCCCAGGGTCCAGGATGGAACCCACGAACTCCTGCGTACCGGGCGAGGTAGTCAACATCTCACAGGGTGCGGGATGGAACCCACGACCTCCTGCGTACCGGGCGAGGTAGTCAACATCTCACAGGGTGCGGGATGGAACCCGCGACCTCCTGCGTACCAGGCGAAGTAGTCAACATCTCACAGGGTCCGGGATGGAACCCGCGACCTCCTGTAGACCAGGCGCGGTAGTCAACATCTCCCAGGGTCCGGGATGGAACCCGCGACCTCCTGTAGTCCAGGCGCGGTAGTCAACATCTCCCAGGGTCCGGGATGGAACCCGCGACCTCCTGCGTACCAGGCGAGGTAGTCAACATCTCACTGCCACGGGCGTGCAGGAAAACGCGCTGGATGGCTTTTTTCGGCAGTAATCGCCGTTCACGACGGACAGCCGAGGAAGAGATCAACAACAACAACAACCGCCATTCACCACAAAGTGGCGGTGACGTCACCACGACGCTTGTACCAGGCTATGTGCACGTGAAGTGTCGAACGCCCGCTGGCAGGAGGTCACGGGGCAGACCCAGCAGGTGCCACGAATCGACTGACTGAGATGACTGGCTGATGCACCACCTGTTCCCCCTACTGTGCCAACCCGCTGTGCTTTAGCCACCCGGCGCGCTCCGCTCGTTGTTGTGAGCGTCGCTCCTCCGCCCTCCGTTGTTGTTGGAGGGCGACTGCCTCCAACTGCCCAGTAGCGTCCTTCACGAGCCTCCTCCACAGAGGCCGATCTTGACACCGCTGGTACCGGTCATCGGCAAGTCCACTCAGCTCCACGTCCTCCCGTACCACATCACTCCATCTCTTCTCTAGCCCGTGCCGCGCCCGTTTAGCCCCCTCGATCCGGCCGAACAAAAGCTGTTTCGGCATGCGGTGTCTGGGCATGCGGGCTCCTAAACCTCGCCCATTTACCCTCGACATCAGGAGGAGTGGGGGACGATGCCAAGCCCAGCTGCAAGCGATGATGAAATTCTCGCTTACAACTTTCATCAGCTAGCTGAGACCAGGCCACTATGGGTTTGAATGGGGTCCTGGGTGTACACCCACCACCGGAGTGGAAGAATGGCAGGCGCATCTTACAGATGACAAGTCGATGGTCAGTGGGCAGATCAGCTCCACGGTAGGTCCCGGTGTCAAGGACATGGGCCCGCATCCGCTGGTCCGTCACTATGTAGTCCAGCAGATGTTCTTGCTTGGACCCGGCATGCATCCATGATGTTGTGTGGATGCGCCGATGCCGGAACAGCGTGTTGGTAATTACAACCCCATGGGCTGCACACAAATCTAGCAGCCTCCTGCCGTTGTTATTGAGCTGATCTGGCCCATGCCCTCCAATCACTCCAGACCAGGTGCCAGCATCGTGACCAACTCGGGCATTGAAGTCACCCAACAAGATGCCTCTATCCCGAGGTGCCGCTTTAAGCCAGCACCTGTGACAGGAGGTCATAGAAGGCGTCTGACTCATCGGCCCTGCCTGTTCGTCTTCAGTTGGGGGCATCAGTAACCACGACCACCACTCACCCCACCCCCCCGTGTCTCCCCCCCCCACCTCCCACACCACCAGGATCACTACCGCTACTGCTACGAAGTGGCCACCATCATGGCCTGTGCCAACGGTGGCCCTGTGGAGCAGACGGCCACCACCACCACCGCCACCACCACCACCACCACCGCCGCCACCACCACCGCAGCAGCCAATGGGGATCCAACCACCACAGCCGCCACCACCACCCCCTCCATCACCACCACCACCACCACCACTCCCGCAACCACCACCACCACCGCCACCACCACTCCTGCAACCGCCACTCTGAGCATCGTCAACGAAACGGCAGAGGATTCTGGGAATGGCGGAGCGAGGAATTCTGGGAAATCCGAGCGGGAGTTGGAGGCCCGCGGCGGCGATGGAGATGGTTGTGATGATGTTGATGGTGGTGGTGATGGTGGTGGTGGTGATGGTGGTGGTGGTGATGTTGGTGGTGGTGGTGGTGTTGATGGTGATGGTGCCCGAGGGGGTTGTACTGGAGCTGTGACGCCTGGAGCAGAAGGCCCTGGGACAGCCGAGGGAGCAGTGGCTACCCAGACGGTCGTCTAAGACGCCGTGGGATTGTGGGGAGATTGTGGTGGGGGTGGTGGGGGTGGTGGGGGTGGGGGGAGGGTGGGTGGGGGGTGAGAAATGTAGAGGAGGGGAGTCATCCAAACAACCATCATCACCATCATCATCACCATCACCACCACCATCACCACCACCATCACCACTACCATCACCACCACTATCACCATCACCACCATCATCACCATCATCATCACCATCACCACCACCATCACCACCACCATCACCACTACCATCACCACCACTATCACCATCACCACCATCATCACCATCATCACCACCATCATCACCACCACCATCATCACCACCATCACCACCACTATCACCATCACCACCATCATCACCATCATCACCACCATCATCACCACCATCACCATCATCACCACCATCACCACCATTACCACCATCACCATCACCACCATCACCACCACCATCAGCATCACCACCATCACCACCATCACCACCACCATCACCACCACCATCATCACCATCACCACCATCACCACCATCACCATCATCACCACCATCACCACCATTACCACCATCACCATCACCACCATCACCACCACCATCAGCATCACCACCATCACCACCATCACCATCATCACCATCATCATCATCACCACTATCACCACCACCATCATCACAATGTCCAACGGACGGACTTCACCCCGCCATAGGAACGTGGAATGCCCACGGCTTAGTTTTGTGTGTGTTGACGTTACCATGGTAACGTCTGCTAGTATCTAATCACAGGGAGTGCACCTAGCCTGGCACCGCGAGTCAGCTGGTGGTGGTGGTGGGGGGAGTGAGGGGGGGGTCGAGTGGGGGGTGGGGGGGGTTGAGGGGGGGGGGGGTGAGGGATTAAGGGTGGGGGGTTGGTTGAGGTGGGAGGGGTTTGAGGGGGGGGTGATGTTGTTGTTGATGTTGTTGTTGATGTTGTTGTTGATGTTGTTGATGTTGTTGTTGATGTTGTTGTTGATGTTGTTGTTGTTGATGTTGTTGTTGATGATGTTGATGTTGTTGTTGATGTTGTTGATGTTGTTGATGTTGTTGTTGATGTTGTTGTTGATGTTGTTGATGTTGATGATGTTGTTGATGTTGTTGTTGATGATGTTGTTGATGATGTTGTTGTTGATGTTGTTGTTGATGTTGTTGTTGTTGATGTTGTTGATGTTGTTGTTGATGTTGTTGATGATGTTGTTGATGTTGTTGATGTTGTTGTTGATGTTGTTGTTGATGATGTTGATGTTGTTGATGTTGTTGTTGTTGATGATGTTGTTGTTGATGATGTTGATGTTGTTGATGATGTTGTTGTTGATGATGTTGATGTTGTTGATGATGTTGTTGTTGATGATGTTGATGTTGTTGATGATGTTGTTGTTGATGTTGTTGATGTTGATGATGATGTTGTTGTTGATGATGTTGATGTTGTTGATGATGTTGTTGTTGATGTTGTTGATGTTGTAGTCATCGTTATACTTTTGCCGCTTTTGCATAAACTAACCCCGAATATCGGAGGAGGAGGAGGGGGGGCGGGGGGGAGGAGGAGGAGGGGGGGGCGGGGGGAGGAGGAGGAGGAGGGGGGGCGGGGGGGGGGAGCCCCGGGAGCAGCGACGTTTACCCAACGTTTACCCAACGTTCGTGTCGTCTTGGCGGGCCAACGTTGAGCCCAACGTTGAGCGAACGTTGGGCCCAACGTTCCACCAACGTTGGGCTCAACGTTCCATCAACGTTGGGCCCAACGTTCCACCAACGTTGGGCTCAACGTTCCAACAACGTTGAGCTCAACGTTCCACCAACGTTGGGCCCAACGTTCCATCAACGTTGGGCTCAACGTTCCACCAACGTTGAGCTCAATGTTCCATCAACGTTGGGCTCAACGTTCCACCAACGTTGGGCGCAACGTTCCACCAACGTTGGGCTCAACGTTCCACCAACGTTGGGCCCAACGTTCCACCGACGTTGGTCCCAACGTTCCACCACCCCACGAATCGCCCCGCGTGGACCGTGGCCGGCTGCTTGAGGTTGTCAGGGCACGCTGGGTGGTGGTGGTGGTGGGTCACGTGGTGGTGGTGAGTCACGTGGTGGTGGTGAGTCACGTGGTGGTGGTGAGACACGTGGTGGTGGTTGTTGTTGATGGGTTGTTGTTGATGGGTTGTTGTTGTTATTCTGTTGTTGTTGTCGTTGTCGATCTTCGCGATTAAAGTTCCACCCCGTGGCTTCAAATAACCTCCCCCCACCCACACACATTCATTCATTTTGTGGTTGATCAGCAGGGCTGTAGGGGCAAGTGCTGTTAGCTAGCGAGTAGCAGCAGCAGTGTCTATGTACTAAACACACCACGCACAGACAAAGCTACCCCAGGTAGCCTCTAGCAGGGCTGTAGGGGCAAGTGCTGTTAGTAGCGAGTAGCAGCAGCAGTCTCTATGTACTACACACACCACGCACAGACAAAGCTACCCCCAGGTAGCCTCTAGCAGGGCTGTAGGGGCAAGTGCTGTTAGCTAGCGAGTAGTAGCAGCAGTGTCTATGTACTACACACACCACACACAGACAAAGCTACCCCCAGGTAGCCTCTAGCAGGGCTGTAGGGGCAAGTGGTGTTAGCGAGTAGCAGCAGCAGTGTCTATGTACTACACACACCACACACAAAGCTCCCCCAGGTAGCCTCTAGCAGGGCTGTAGGGGCAAGTGCTGTTAGCTAGCGAGTAGCAGCAGCAGTGTCTATGTACCACACACACCACACACAGACAAAGCTACCCCAGGTAGCCTCTAGCAGGGCTGTAGGGGCAAGTGCTGTTAGTAGCGAGTAGCAGCAGCAGTGTCTATGTACTACACACACCACGCACAGACAAAGCTACCCCAGGTAGCCTCTAGCAGGGCTGTAGGGGCGAGTGCTGTTAGCTAGCGAGTAGCAGCAGCAGTGTCTATGTACTACACACACCACACACAGACAAAGCTACCCCCAGGTAGCCTCTAGCAGGGCTGTAGGGGCAGGTCGACTGAGATGACTGGCTGATGCACCACCTGTGCCCCCTACTGTGCCAACCCGCTGTGCTTTAGCCACCCGGCGCCCCGCTCGTTGTTGTGAGCGTCGCTCCTCCGCCCTCCGTGGTTGTTGGAGGGCGACTGCCTCCAACTGCCCAGTAGCGTCCTTCACGAGCCTCCTCCACAGAGGCCGATCTTGACACCGCTGGTACCGGTCATCGGTAAGTCCACTCGGCTCCAAGTCCTCCTGTACCACATCACTCCATCTCTTCTCTAGCCCGTGCTGCGCCCGTCTAGCCCCCTCGATCTGGCTGACCAAAATCTGTTTAGGCATGCGGTGGCTGGGCATGCGGGCTACACATCAGGGACTCTGAAAACACGAAGCACTGCACACAACCCAGGCCTACTGATGGTATCATAGGCCTTGACCAGGTCAATAAAGCAGAGATGCAGGTCTTGCTGGAATTCCCTACACCTCTGCTGTAGCAGACGGACAGAAAATATGGCATCTGTGCAGGACCGCCCTTTCCTGAAACCGCATTGGGGCTCCGCAAGCCTCTCCTCAGCGTGCCTGGCAAGGCGATGCTGAATAATCTTTGCCAGGACCTTTCCCGGCACACTCAGGAATGAGATGCCCCTGTAGATGTTACAGTCTGTGCGGTCCCCCTTCTTAAAAAGGGGGACCACCAGGGCATCCTTCCAATCCTGCGGAACCCGTCCAGTGGTCCAGACTGTTGTTATGATGTCATATAGGCAGTCTGTGCACAAACGCCACCCTCCCTCAGCATTTCGCTTGGGAGATCATCTCTGCCCAGTGCCATTCCTGGTCTCAGACTCCGGATCGCCTTCAGTACTTCCTCAACAGATGGCACCTTAGCCAGCCACTCACAGGGGGTGACTTCTTCCAATATTTGAGGCACCGCAGCCTCAGCAGGGTCATCCTCACTTTGTGCCACGATGTTTTCCTGGCTGAGGGATTTCCCCTCCCCCAGGACCTCACAGAAATGCTCAGCAAATCTCCAAACCTGTTACTGGGGGGTCGGAGATTGGATCACCGTTCTTTCCTCTAATGATGGTAATAGGAGATCATCTCTGCCCGGTGCCTTTTTCCTGGTCTCAAGACCACCAGGGCATCCTTCCAAACCTACGGAACCCGGCCCAGTGATCCAGACTGTTGTTATGGTGTCATTTAGGGCAGTCTGTTCACAAACGCCACCCTCCCTCAGCATTTCGCTTGGGAGATCATCTCTGCCCCTGTGCCTTTTTTCCTGGTCTCAAGACCACCAGGGCATCCTTCCAATCTTGCGGAACCCGGCCCAGTGATCCAGACTGTTGTTGTGATGTCATTTAGGGCAGTCTGTACACAAACGCCACCCTCCCTCAGCATTTCGCTTGGGAGATCATCTCTGCCCCGGTGCCTTTTTTCCCGGTCTCAAGACCACCAGGGCATCCTTCGAAACCTACGGAACCCGGCCCAGTGATCCAGACTGTTGTTGTGATGTCATTTAGGGCAGTCCGTACACAAACGCCACCCTCCCTCAGCATTTCGCTTGGGAGATCATCTCTGCCCCCGTGCCTTTTTTCCCTGGTCTCAAGACCACCAGGGCATCCTTCCAATCTTGCGGAACCCGGCCCAGTGATCCAGACTGTTGTTGTGATGTCATTTAGGGCAGTCTGTACACAAACGCCACCCTCCCTCAACATTTCGCTTGGGAGATCATCTCTGCCCCGTGCCTTTTTTTCCTGGTCTCAAGACCACCAGGGCATCCTTCGAAACCTACGGAACCCGGCCCAGTGATCCAGACTGTTGTTGTGATGTCATTTAGGGCAGTCTGTACACAAACGCCACCCTCCCTCAGCATTTCGCTTGGGAGATCATCTCTGCCCCGATGCCTTTTTTCCCGGTCTCAAGACCACCAGGGCATCCTTCCAATCTTGCGGAACCCGGCCCAGTGATCCAGACTGTTGTTGTGATGTCATGTAGGGCAGTCTGTACACAAATGCCACCCTCCCTCAGCATTTCGCTTGGGAGATCATCTCTGCCCCGGTGCCTTTTTTTCCTGGTCTCAAGACCACCAGGGCATCCTTCCAATCTTGCGGAACCCGGCCCAGTGATCCATACTGTTGTTGTGATGTCATTTAGGGCAGTCTGTACACAAATGCCACCCTCCCTCAGCATTTCGCTTGGGAGATCATCTCTGCCCCGGTGCCTTTTTTCCTGGTCTCAAGACCACCAGGGCATCCTTCCAATCCTTCCGGATCTCGTCTTGGGGGGCCAGTCTTCCAGGCACGGACGCCAACCCTCGGGACGCGCGAGGAAACGACACGGACACAATAACGGCACTGCCACTGGGGTTTGGCCCAGCTCACGACCCGAACCCGCGAGCGGAGCCACCTCCGCCTGTATTACAAAGCCGGCCCAGTGGCACCGTGACACGCTCAGGTCACCTCGGCCTGAACTCCCACCACCACCACCACCAATCAGACCCAACACCACCACCACCAATCAGACCCAACACCACCACCACCACCAACCACAGACGAATGCCCCCCACACCACTTCACACAGACCCAACCCCAACCCTCAAATGCAAAGCCGGCCGAGTGGGACCGTGCAACGCCTAGGTCCCCTCAGCCTGAACACAAACCACACACGCCAACAACACCCAATCAGAGCAACCACCACCACCACCACCATCTCATCCCAGACGCTAGGCTCGCATCATACCCAGAGGTAGTAGTAGCCACCACCCCTACCACTACTACCACTAGCAGCAGCAGGCTCATGCACAGGGGACAGCTGCCACTGGGGGTGCCCCTAGGCTAGACTCATACCCAGCAGCAGCAGCAATTTCAGGCTCATGCATAGGGACAGCTGCCACTGGGGGTGCCCCTAGGCTAGACTCATACCCAGCAGCAGCAGCAATTTCAGGCTCATGCATAGGGACAGCTGCCACTGGGGGTGCCCCTAGGCTAGACTCCCAGAGTTTATCATTCGCGTACAAAATGATCTCAAGCTCACTCAGCCGCTCGCTCGCCCACTCGCTCGCCCGCTCACTCACCCGCTCACTCACCCGCTAACTCACCCGCTAACTCACCCGCTAACTCACCCGCTAACTCACCCGCTAACTCTCCTGCTCACCCGCTAACTCACCCGCTAACTCACCCGCTAACTCACCCGCTAACTCACCCGCTAACTCACCCGCTAACTCTCCTGCTCACCCGCTAACTCACCCGCTAACTCACCCGCTAACTCGCCCGCTAACTCGCCCGCTAACTCGCCCGCTAACTCGCCCGCTAACTCGCTCGCACACCCGCTAACTCACCCGCTAACTCACCCGCTAACTCACCCGCTAACTCACCCACTAACTCACTCGCTCACCCGCTAACTCACCCGCTAACTCACCCGCTAACTCACCCGCTAACTCACTCGCTCACCCGCTAACTCACCCGCTAACTCACCCGCTAACTCACCCGCTCACTCACCCGCTCACTCACCCGCTAACTCACCCGCTAACTCACCCGCTAACTCACCCGCTAACTCACCCACTAACTCACCCGCTCACTCACCCGCTAACTCACCCGCTAACTCACCCGCTAACTCACCCGCTAACTCACCCGCTAACTCACCCGCTCACTCACCCGCTCACTCACCCGCTAACTCACCCGCTAACTCACCCGCTAACTCACCCGCTCACTCACCCGCTCACTCACCCGCTCACTCACCCGCTAACTCACCCGCTAACTCACCCGCTCACTCACCCGCTAACCGAACCCCCCCTCCCCACCACCTATAGCGGAGCGTGTGGTGTGTGTGTGGACAAGTGTGGTGAGCGTGTGGTGAGTGTGTGGTGAGTGAGTGGACAGTGTGGTGAGTGAGTGGTGATGAGCGAGTGGTGAGTGAGTGGTGAGTGAGTGGACAGTGTGGTGAGCGAGTGGTGAGCGAGTGGTGAGCGTGTGGCCAGTGTGGTGAGCGAGTGGTGAGCGAGTGGCCAGTGTGGTGAGCGAGTGGTGAGCGAGTGGTGAGCGAGCGGTAATCGTGTGGACAGTGAGGTGAGCGTGTGGTGAGCGAGTGGTGGTGAGCGAGTTGTGGTGAGCGAGTGGTGAGCGAGTGGTGAGCAGGCGGACAGTGCGGTGAGCGTGTGGTGAGCGAGTGGTGGTGAGCGAGTGGTGGTGAGCGAGTGGTGAGCGTGTGGTGAGCGTGTGGACAGTGTGGTGAGCGAGTGGTGAGCGAGTGGTGAGCGAGCGGTGAGTGAGTGGTGAGCAGGCGGACAGTGCGGTGAGCGAGTGGTGAGCATGTGGTGAGCGAGTGGTGAGCGAGTGGTGTGCGTGTGGACAGTGTGGTGAGCGAGTGGTGAGCGAGTGGTGAGCGTCTGGCCAGTGTGGTGAGCGAGTGGTGAGTGAGCGGACAGTGCGGTGAGCGAGTGGTGAGCGAGCGATGAGCGAGCGGTGAGCGAGCGGTGAGCGAGTGGTGAGCGAGTGGACAGTGTGGTGAGCGAGTGGTGAGCGAGTGGTGAGCGAGCGATGAGCGAGCGGTGAGCGAGCGGTGAGCGAGTGGTGAGCGAGTGGACAGTGTGGTGAGCGAGTGGTGAGCGAGTGGTGAGCGAGCGGTGAGCGAGCGGTGAGCGAGCGGTGAGCGAGCGGCGACGTTTAGAATTTCATCTGCTCGTGCTCCTTCACCCAGGGCAGGTCGCTGCTCCTGCAACGAGAGGGAGCGTGGGAGCTTCACATCCACAGCGCAGGGCCGGTTAGCGAGCGCCTATTAAGGCTCGCTCCTTCCCACTCTCGCTCCGTGCGTGTCAAGGCGCTGAGTGTGTGTCCCTATGGGTGTCTCTGCGCGTGTGTCACTGTGTGTGTGTGTGTCTGGTAAAACAACTAACCACCTACCTCCTCGCGGTGCCGGAACGGGCAACGCTGTCGTGGACAATGCTGTGGGGGGAGAGGTGAGGGCCAATTCCGATTGGCTCCTCCCCTCATGGCGTCAGTGACCACCACAGGGGCTAAACGGGGGCTCTGGACGGGTGCGAGGGGCTGGTAACCCCTCCGCATTCAATTAATTACCGCTAAACTACAAAGGAAATTTTTTATTAATAAGCTTGTGCCGGAGGCCCCGGGGGGACAGGCGTCTACGACGTCTCCTGGCCAAACCCCAATTTGGCAGAGCCAGGAGATTGAATCTCTACCCTCGGGGCTCCTCCAGAAACAACAAAAAGCCACTACGGTTGGCCACGTGGAATGTTCGAATGCTCACTGTGGAGGAGAGGCTGCCACTCCTCTGTCGGGAGATGGACCGGTACCGCCTGGATCTATGCGGCATTCAGGAGGTCCGGTGGACCGGTTCTGGCTCCTGCCACCTTGAGGGGTGGACAGTCCTCTACTCGGGGCAGCAGACTACCAAACAACAGGGTGTGGCTCTTCTTCTGAACAAAAGAATGAAGGGGGCGTGGGAGCGTGGTGGTGAGGTGTGGGAGGCGCTGCAAGGATGGGTGGTGGTCGCGGGTTGCTGAGGAGATGGAGTCTGCCTCAGTGGCCCGTGATCACAAATCTCTATTTAACTCCATCAAAAAAGTAACCTGCAGCGCCACACCTATTACCATCATTAGGGGGGAAAACGGTGATCCAATCTCAGACCCCCAGGAACAGGTTTGCAGATTTGCTGAGCATTTCTGTGAGGTCCTGGGGGAGGGAAAATCCCTCAGCCAGGAAAACATCGTGGCACAAAGTGAGGATGACCCTGCTGAGGCTGCGGTGCCTCAAATATTGGAAGAAGTCACCCCCTGTGAGTGGCTGGCTGAGGTGCCATCTGTTGAGGAAGTCCTGAAGGCGATCCGGAGTCTGAGACCAGGAAAGGCACCGGGCAGAGATGATCTCCCAAGCGAAATGCTGAGGGAGGGTGGCGTTTGTGCACAGACTGCCCTACATGACATCATAACAACAGTCTGGACCACTGGACGGGTTCCGCAGGATTGGAAGGATGCCCTGGTGGTCCCCCTCTTTAAGAAGGGGGACCGCACAGACTGTAACAACTACAGAGGCATCTCACTCCTCAGTGTGCCGGGAACAGTCCTGGCAAGGATTATTCAACAACGCCTTGCCAGGCACGCTGAGGAGAGGCTTGCGGAGCCCCAATGCGGTTTCAGGAAAGGGCGGTTCTGCACAGATGCCATATTTTCTGTCCGTCTGCTACAGCAGAGGTGTAGGGAATTCAAGCAAGACCTACATATCTGCTTTATTGACCTGGTCAAGGCCTATGATACCATCAGTAGGCCTGGGCTCTGGGTTGTTCTTCGTGCTTTTGGAGTCCCTGACCCTCTGCTCACGATCATTAAGGACCTTCATAATGGTGAGCGGGCCCAGGTAAAACTGCGTGGCTGGGAGTCAGAGCCATTCCCTTTACACCTTGGGGTGCGACAGGGATGTCCTCTGGCTCCCACATTATTTAACATCTATTTTGACCACGTAGTTCGTGAAGCCTTCAATAGCTGTACTGGGGGAATCTCCATTTGGTACAGATATAATGGGAGGCTGATCGATACCCGGGCACGGTCAAGGGATGGCTCCCTATTGCTCAACCACGTTACGTATGCTGATGATTTGGTAATAGCTGCTCATTCAGAGAAGGAGTTGTAGATGCTGCTGCTGAGACTGGAGCGTGCCACTAAGACATGGGGCCTTACCATCAGCCCCACCAAAACTAAGCACCTGTCTGGGTATTTTGTACCATCGGACACTCCACCCCCTCAACTCCCAATCGGTGATGGGGCAGTTGTGGAGAGAGTGGAGAGTTTTCCATACCTGGGCAGTGTGCTTATGACCGGCTCCAGGTTAACAGCAGAGGTCTCACTCGGAATCAGTCGAGCGGCAATATCTTTCATCGGTTGCATAACGCTGTGTGGAAGCTACCTGGTCTGTCGCTCCGCACTAAGCTTCAGGTCTTCTCAGCCACGGTCATTCCCTCCCTTCTCTACGCTTGCGAAACGTGGACACCCCTAATGGTACATCTTTGCCGGTTAGAAACATTTAGGCTAGCCTGCCTACGATCCATCCTGGGTTTAACCAGACTGGATTGTGTGAGGAGCTCACAAATCCTTGAACGATCTGGGCAAGGTCCCATCGGGGAGCTCCTCCGGCAGGCAAGGCTGCGTTGGCTGGGTCATGTAGCCCGCATGCCCAGCCACCGCATGCCGAAACAGCTTTTGTTCGGCCGGATTGAGGGGGCTAAACAGGCGCGGCACGGGAGGAGGACGTGGAGCTGAGTGGACTTGCCGATGACTGGTACCAGCGGTGTCAAGATCGGCCTCTGTGGAGGAGGCTCGTGCAGGACGCTACTGGGCAGTTGGAGGCAGTCGCCCTCCAACAACAATGGAGGGCGGAGGAGCGACGCTCACAACAACGAGCGGAGCGCCGGGTGGCTAAAGCGCAGCAGGTCGGCACAGTAGGGGGCACAGGTGGTGCATCAGCCAGTCATCTCAGTCAGTCGACCCGTGGCACCTGCTGGGTCTGCCCCGTGACCTCCTGCCAGCGGGCATTCGACACTTCACGTGGCCTCAGGGTGCACATAGCCTGGCGAATGGCGGTTGTTGTTGTTGTGTGTGTCTCTGTGTGTGTCTGTGTCTGTGTGTCTGTGTGTGTGTGTCTGTGTGTGTGTCTGTGTGTTTGTGTCTGTGTGTCTGTGTGTGTCTGTGTGTGTCTGTGTGTCACTGTGTGTGTGTCTCTGTGTGTCTGTGTCTGTGTGTGTCTGTGTGTGTGTGTCTGTGTGTGTGTGTGTGTCTGTGTCTCTGTCTTACTCCACGTCTCTCCTCGTCACCGTGCCACCGGAGTTCATCACTTCGGCAAAGTGCGACACCACAGGGTCCCAGTTCATAGAGGCCACGGCCACTACATCCTCATTCCTACATCACCGTCAACATCACCGTCATCATCACCGTCAACATCATCATCACCGTCAACATCACCATCAACATCACCGTCATCAACATCATCACCGTCAACATCATCACCGTCAACATCATCACCGTCAACATCACCGTCATCATCATCACCGTCAACATCATCACCGTCAACATCATCACCGTCAACATCATCACCGTCAACATCACCGTCATCATCATCACCGTCAACATCATCACGGTCAACATCATCACCGTCAACATCATCACTACTACCACTATCACTACCATCACTACCATCACTTTAACCACCCCAATTACCAGCAGCATCAGCACCATCATCAGTATCACCAGCATCATCAACATCAGCATCGTCATCAGCATCATCATTATCAGCAGCATCATCATCATCATCAGTATCATCATCAGCACCATCATCAGTATCATCAACATCAGCATCATCAACATCAGCATCATCATCATCAGCATCATCAGCATCATCACCATCAACATCATCACCGTCAACATCATCACTACTACCACTATCACTACCATCACTACCATCATCACTAGCACTACCATCACTTTGACCACCCCAATTACCAGCAGCATCAGCACCATCATTAGTATCACCAGCATCATTAACGTCAGCATCATCATCATCAGCATCATCATTATCAGCATCATCATCATCAGTATCATCATCAGCACCATCATCAGTATCATCAACATCATCAACATCAGCATCATCAACATCAGCATCATCATCAGTATCATCATCAGTATCAGCAGCATCAGCAGCAGGAGTATCATCATCATTATCATCATCAGCAGCAGTATCATCAGTATCAGCATCATCATTATCATCATCAGCATCATCAATATCATCAGTATCATCAACATCAGCATCATCATCAGTATCATCAGTGGTGGTGAGTGGTGGTTGTGGTGAGTGGTGGTGATGGTGAGTGGTGGTGAGTGGTGAGTGGTGGTGAGTGATGAGTGGTGTGATCGTGAGTGGTGGTGAGTGGTGGTGAGTGGTGAGTGGGGAGTGGCGCTGGTGAGTGGTGATGGTAAGTGGTGTGATCGTGAGTGGTGGTGAGTGGTGGTGAGTGGTGGTGAGTGGTGGTTGTGGTGATGGTGAGTGGTGGTGAGTGGTGGTGGTAAGTGGTGTGATCGTGAGTGATGGTGAGTGGTGGTTGTGGTGATGGTGAGTGGTGGTGAGTGGTGGTTGTGGTGAGTGATGAGTGACGCTGGTGAGTGGTGATGGTAAGTGGTGGTGAGTGGTGGTGGTGATGGTGAGTGGTGGTGGTGGTGATTGTGAGTGGTGGTGGTGATGGTGAGTGATGGTGAGTGGTGGTGGTGATGGTGAGTGGTGGTGAGTGGTGATGGTGAGTGGTGTGATCGTGAGTGGTAGTGAGTGGTGGTGGTGGTGGCCGTGGTGAGTGGTGAGTGGCGCTGGTGAGTAGTGGTGAGGATTGTGAGAGCCTCACTTTATGTAGTAAGCGATAAATCTCAACTCGTCCAGATCACCCTGAATGAGCACATCCTCAAAACCGTCTCCATAGCCTAACACACACACACAGTGACACACACAGTGACACACACACACACAGTGACACACTCAGTGACACACACACACAGTGACACACACAGTGACACACACACACACAGTGACACACTCAGTGACACACACACACAGTGACACACACAGTGACACACACAGTGACACACTCAGTGACACACACACACAGTGACACACACACAGTGACACACACACAGTGACACACACACACAGTGACACACAGTGACACACACACAGTGACACACACAGTAACACACAGTGACACACACACACAGTGACACACACACAGTGACACACACAGTGACACACACACACAGTGACACACACACAGTGACACACACAGTGATACACACACACACAGTGACACACACAGTGACACACACACACACAGTGACACACACACAGTAACACACACACAGTGACACACACACAGTGACACAAGATAAAGATCCCCCGTGTAGCCTTAACAGACTGTAGGGGCAAGTGCTGTTAGCGAGCACCTATGAAGGCCGGAACGGTACACGAGGGGGTGGGTGGCCAGCACCACGCCCGACCGCCTTTGTCTCCCCAGTGGCGATGTTTACACACCGCACCAGGTACTCATTTGAGGCTGAGTCGACCTAGGAGAGGCCCGGGACCGGTTCAGATGATCGTCACTGGTGTTGGCCATGAGCGGGAATCGAACCCAGGTCGCCAGGTTCATAGCGCAGCGTAGCGCTAACCGCTACTACTAACTACTACTACACACACTACTAACTACTACTATAACTACTACTACACTACTACTACACTATTACTACACTACTACTACACTACTACTACACTACTACTACTATAACTACTACTACTATAACTACTACTACACTACTACACACTACTACACTACTACTACTATACTACTACTACACTACTACACCACTACTACACACACACACTACTATACTACTACTACACTACACACACTACTACACTACTACTACTACACACTACTACACACACTACTATACTACTACTCTACACACACTACTATACTACTACTACACCACTACTACTACTACTACACACACACTACTATACTACTACACCACTACTACTACTCTACACACACACTACTATACTACTACTACACTACTACTACTACACTACTACTACACACTACTATACTACACTACACACACACTACTATACTACTACTATACTACTACACCACTACTACTACTCTACACTACTACACACACTACTATACTACTACACACACACTACTACTACACACACACTACTACTACTACTACTCTACACACACACACTACTATACTACACACACTACTACTACACACACTACAATACTACTATACTACTACTACACACACTACTACTACTACTACACACACTACTACACTACTACACACACACTACTACACTACCACTACACACACTACTACTACACTACTACTACACACACTACTACTACACTACTACTACACACACTACTACTACTACACTACTACTACACTACTACTACACACACTACTACTACACTACTACTACACACACTACTACTACTACACTACTACTACACACACTACTACACTACTACTACACACACTACTACTACACTACTACTACACACACTACTACACTACTACTACACTACTACTATAACTACTACTACACTACTACACACTACTACACTACTACTACACTACTATTACTACACTACTACTACACACACTACTACACACACTACTACTAAACTACTACTACACACACTACTACTACACTACTACTACACACACACTACTACACACTACTTCTGCACACACTACTACTACACTACTACACACTACTACTACACTACTACACACTACTACACTACTACAACTACACTACTACTACTACACACACTACTACTACACTACACACACACTACTACTACTACACACACTACTATACTACTACTACCACTAACTACTATTAACTACCACTAACTACTACTACACACTATTACACTACTAACTACTACCTACTACTAACTACCACTAACTGCCACTAACTACCACTAACTACGACTAACTACTACTACACACTACTACACTACACACACACTACTACTACCAACTACTACCACTAACTACTACTAACTATCACTAACTACCACTAACTACTACTAACTACTACTAACTAGCACTAACTACCACTAACTACTAATAACTACCACTAACTAACTACTGTTGCCCACCGGTGTATCGGAGGCTCTTTCCACACAGCGCGGTCCAGAAGAATGGCACCGTCTTGAACTCCACTACTACTACACACTATTACACTACTAACTACTACCACTAACTACTACTAACTAGCACTAACTACCACTAACTAACTACTGTTGCTCACCGGTGTATCGGAGGCTCTTTCCACACAGCGCGGTCCAGAAGAATGGCACCGTCTTGAACTCCACTACTACTACACACTATTACACTACTAACTACTACCACTAACTACTACTAACTACTACTAACTACCACTAACTACTACTACTACACACTATTACACTACTAACTACTACTAACTACCACTAACTACTACTACACTACTACTACACACACTACTACTACACACTATTACACTACTACTAACTACTACTACTAACTACTACTAACTACCACTAACTACCACTAACTAACTACTGTTGCTCACCGGTGTATCGGAGGCTCTTTCCACACAGCGCGGTCCAGAAGAATGGCACCGTCTTGAACTCCACTACTACTACACACTATTACACTACTAACTACTACTAACTAACTACTAACTAACCACTAACTACCACTAACTAACTACTGTTGCTCACCGGTGTATCGGAGGCTCTTTCCACACAGCGCGGTCCAGAAGAATGGCACCGTCTTGAACTCCACTACTACTACACACTATTACACTACTACTAACTACCACTAACTACCACTAACTAACTACTGTTGCTCACCGGTGTATCGGAGGCTCTTTCCACACAGCGCGGTCCAGAAGAATGGCACCGTCTTGAACTCCACTACTACTACACACTATTACACTACTACTAACTACTACTAACTACCACTAACTACCACTAACTAACTACTGTTGCTCACCGGTGTATCGGAGGCTCTTTCCACACAGCGCGGTCCAGAAGAATGGCACCGTCTTGAACTCCACTACTACTACACACTATTACACTACTAACTACTACCACTAACTACTACTAACTACCACTAACTACTACTACATTACTACTACACTACGACTAAACACTACTACACACTATTACACTACTACTACTACACACTATTACACTACTACTACTAACTACTACTACACATTACTACTAACTACTAACTATTACTAACTACCACTACACACTATTAGACTACTAACTACTACACTACTACTACTAACTACTACTAACTACAACTAACTACTACTACACTACTACTACACACACTACTACTACACACTATTACACTACTAACTACCACTAACTACTACTAACTACCACTAACTACCACTAACTAACTACTGTTGCTCACCGGTGTATCGGAGGCTCTTTCCACACAGCGCGGTCCAGAAGAATGGCACCGTCTTGAACTCCACTACTACTACACTACTATTACACTACTAACTACTACCACTAACTACTACTAACTAGCACTAACTACCACTAACTAACTACTGTTGCCCACCGGTGTATCGGAGGCTCTTTCCACACAGCGCGGTCCAGAAGAATGGCACCGTCTTGAACTCCACTACTACTACACACTATTACACTACTAACTACTACCACTAACTACTACTAACTAGCACTAACTACCACTAACTACTACTGCTGCCCACCGGTGTATCGGAGGCTCTTTCCACACAGCGCGGTCCAGAAGAATGGCACCGTCTTGAACTCCACTACTACTACACTACTATTACACTACTAACTACTACCACTAACTACTACTAACTAGCACTAACTACCACTAACTAACTACTGTTGCTCACCGGTGTATCGGAGGCTCTTTCCACACAGCGCGGTCCAGAAGAATGGCACCGTCTTGAACTCCACTACTACTACACACTATTACACTACTAACTACTACCACTAACTACTACTAACTAGCACTAACTACCACTAACTACTACTGTTGCCCACCGGTGTATCGGAGGCTCTTTCCACACAGCGCGGTCCAGAAGAATGGCACCGTCTTGAACTCTACCTACTACTACACACTATTACACTACTAACTACTACTAACTAACCACTAACTACCACTAACTAACTACTGTTGCCCACCGGTGTATCGGAGGCTCTTTCCACACAGCGCGGTCCAGAAGAATGGCACCGTCTTGAACTCCACTACTACTACACACTATTACACTACTACTAACTACTACTAACTAACCACTAACTAGCACTAACTACCACTAACTAACTACTGTTGCCCACCGGTGTATCGGAGGCTCTTGCCACACAGCGCGGTCCAGAAGAATGGCACCGTCTTGAACTCGACCTCCCGGTTCATCATTGCCAGGCCCACGGCACGGCCTGCACACAGAGAGATGGAGTACACGGTGGGTGGGTGGGTGGGGTGGGTGAGTGGGTGAGTGAGTGGGTGAGTGGGTGGACGAGTGGGTGGGTGGGCGAGTGGGTCGGTGAGTGGGTGGGTGGGTGAGTGGGTGGGTGGGTGGGCGAGTGGGTGAGTGGGTGGGTGAGTGGGTGAGTGGGTGGGTGGGTGAGTGGGTCGGTGAGTGGATGGGTGAGTGAGTGGGTGGGTGGGTGAGTGAGTGTGTGAGTGAGTGTGTGAGTGAGTGAGTGTGTAAGTGTGTAAGTGAGTGTGTAAGTAAGTGTGTAAGTGAGTGTGTAAGTGTGTAAGTGAGTGTGTAAGTGAGTGTGTAAGTGAGTGTGTGAGTGTGTAAGTGTGTGTGTAAGTGAGTGTGTAAGTGAGTGTGTAAGTGAGTGTGTAAGTGAGTGTGTAAGTGTGTGTGTGAGTGTGTAAGTGTGTAAGTGTGTAAGTGAGTGTGTAAGTGAGTGTGTAACTAAGTGTGTAAGTGAGTGTGTAAGTGAGTGTGTAAGTGAGTGTGTAAGTGAGTGTGTAAGTGTGTAAGTGAGTGTGTAAGTGAGTGTGTAAGTGAGTGTGTAAGTGAGTGTGTAAGTGTGTAAGTGAGTGTGTAAGTGAGTGTGTAAGTGTGTAAGTGAGTGTGTAAGCTCACCGTGTGCGTGAGCCACTTGCCAGTGAGAGATGTTGACCCTCTAGCTACGTGTGTGAGTGTGTGAGTGTGTGTGTGAGTGTGTAAGTGTGTAAGTAAGTGTGTAAGTGAGTGTGTAAGTGTGTAAGTGTAAGTGTGTAAGCTCACCGTGTGCGTGAGCCACTTGCCAGTGAGAGATGTTGACCCTCTAGCTACGTGAGTGTGTAAGTGTGTAAGTGAGTGTGTAAGTGAGTGTGTAAGTGTGTAAGTAAGTGTGTAAGTGTGTAAGTGAGTGTGTAACTAAGTGTGTAAGTGTGTAAGTGTAAGTGTGTAAGCTCACCGTGTGCGTGAGCGACCTGCCAGTGAGAGATGTTGACCCTCTAGCTACGTGAGTGAGTGTGTGAGTGTGTGAGTGAGTGTGTAAGTGAGTGTGTAAGTGAGTGAGTGTGTGAGTGTGTGAGTGTGTGAGTGAGTGAGTGTGTGAGTGTGTGAGTGTGTAAGTGAGTGTGTAAGTGTGTAAGTGATTGTGTAAGTGTGTAAGTAAGTGTGTAAGTGTGTAAGCTCACCGTGTGCGTGAGCCACTTGCCAGTGAGAGATGTTCACCCTCTAGCTACGTGTGAGTGTGTAAGTGTGTGAGTGAATGAGTGTGTGAGTGTGTGAGTGTGTGTGTAAGTGTGTAACTAAGTGTGTAAGTGAGTGTGTAAGTGAGTGTGTAAGTGTGTAAGCTCACCATGTGCGTGAGCGACCTGCCAGTGAGAGATGTTGACCCTCTAGCTACGTGTGTGTGAGTGTGTGAGTGAGTGAGTGTGTAAGTGAGTGTGTAAGTGAGTGAGTGTGTAACTAAGTGTGTAAGTGAGTGTGTAAGTGAGTGTGTAAGTGTGTAACTAAGTAAGTGTGTAAGTGAGTGTGTAAGCTCACCGTGTGCGTGAGCCACTTGCCAGTGAGAGATGTTGACCCTCTAGCTACGTGAGTGAGTGTGTGAGTGTGTAAGTGTGTAACTAAGTGAGTGTGTAAGTGTGTAAGCTCACCATGTGCGTGAGCCACTTGCCAGTGAGAGATGTTGACCCTCTAGCTACGTGAGTGAGTGTGTAAGTGTGTAACTAAGTGAGTGTGTAAGTGTAAGTGTGTAACTAAGTGTGTAAGTGTGTAACTAAGTGTGTAAGTGAGTGTGTAAACTCACCGTGTGCGTGAGCCACTTGCCAGTGAGAGATGTTCACCCTCTTGCCTGCACGGAGTGGCAGTGGGAAACTAGCCACGTCACCAGCAGCATACACAGCAGGGACATTGCTCTGTAGGGACTGGGGGGGGGGGGCACGGGGGGGGTGATGGAGGGGGGGGGGCACGGGGGGAGGGGGGGTGGAGGGAGGGGGGGAGGGAGGGGGGGGGTTGGGTGGAGGGGGGAGGGGAGAGGGGTTGGGTGGAGGGGGGAGGTGGGAGGGGGGTGGAGGGTGGAGGGGGGGAGGGGGGGTTGAGGAAGGGGGAAGGGTTGAGTGCAGGTGGGAGGGGGGGTGGAGGGGGGAGGTGTAGTAGTAGTATAGAGGGTGTGTAGTAGTATAGAGTGTGTAGTAGTAGTATAGGTGTAGTAGTAGTATAGGTGTAGTAGTAGTACAGGTGTAGTAGTAGTATAGGTGTAGTAGTAGTAGTATAGGTGTAGTAGTAGTATAGAGTGTGTAGTAGTAGTATAGGTGTAGTAGTAGTATAGGTGTAGTAGTAGTACAGGTGTAGTAGTAGTATAGGTGTAGTAGTAGTAGTATAGGTGTAGTAGTAGTATAGGTGTAGTAGTAGTACAGGTGTAGTAGTAGTATAGGTGTAGTAGTAGTAGTAGTATAGGTGTAGTAGTATAGGTGTAGTAGTAGTATAGGTGTAGTAGTAGTAGTAGTATAGGTGTAGTAGTAGAAGTATAGGTGTGGTAGTAGTAGTATAGGTGTAGTAGTAGTAGTATAGGTGTAGTAGTAGTATAGGGGTAGTAGTAGTATAGGTGTAGTAGTAGTACAGGTGTAGTAGTAGTATAGGTGTAGTAGTAGTAGTATAGGTGTAGTAGTAGTAGTATAGGTGTAGTAGTAGTATAGGTGTAGTAGTAGTAGTATAGGTGTAGTAGTAGTATAGGTGTAGTAGTATAGGTGTAGTAGTAGAAGTATAGGTGTGGTAGTAGTATAGGTGTAGTAGTAGTATAGGTGTAGTAGTAGTATAGGTGTAGTAGTAGTATAGGTGTAGTAGTAGTATAGGTGTAGTAGTAGTATAGGTGTAGTAGTAGTATAGGTGTAGTAGTAGTATAGGTGTAGTAGTAGTAGTAGTATAGGTGTAGTAGTAGTATAGGTGTAGTAGTATAGGTGTAGTAGTAGTATAGGTGTAGTAGTAGTATAGGTGTAGTAGTAGTATAGGTGTAGTAGTAGTATAGGTGTAGTAGTAGTACAGGTGTAGTAGTAGTATAGGTGTAGTAGTAGTAGTATAGGTGTAGTAGTAGTAGTATAGGTGTAGTAGTAGTATAGGTGTAGTAGTAGTAGTATAGGTGTAGTAGTAGAAGTATAGGTGTGGTAGTAGTAGTATAGGTGTAGTAGTAGTAGTATAGGTGTAGTAGTAGTAGTATAGGTGTAGTAGTATAGGTGTAGTAGTAGTATAGGTGTAGTAGTAGTATAGGTGTAGTAGTAGTAGTATAGTTGTAGTAGTAGTATAGGTGTAGTAGTAGTATAGGTGTAGTAGTAGTATAGGTGTAGTAGTAGTATAGGTGTAGTAGTAGTATAGGTGTAGTAGTAGTATAGGTGTAGTAGTAGTATAGGCGTAGTAGTAGTATAGGTGTAGTAGTAGTACAGGTGTAGTAGTAGTATAGGTGTAGTAGTAGTAGTATAGGTGTAGTAGTAGTATAGGTGTAGTAGTAGTAGTATAGGTGTAGTAGTAGTATAGGTGTGGTAGTAGTAGTATAGGTGTAGTAGTAGAAGTATAGGTGTAGTAGTAGAAGTATAGGTGTGGTAGTAGTAGTATAGGTGTAGTAGTAGTAGTATAGGTGTAGTAGTAGTAGTATAGGTGTAGTAGTATAGGTGTAGTAGTAGTATAGGTGTAGTAGTAGTATAGGTGTAGTAGTAGTATAGGTGTAGTAGTAGTATAGGTGTAGTAGTATAGGTGTAGTAGTAGTATAGGTGTAGTAGTAGTATAGGTGTAGTAGTAGTACAGGTGTAGTAGTAGTATAGGTGTAGTAGTAGTAGTAGTATAGGTGTAGTAGTAGTATAGGTATAGTAGTAGTAGTATAGGTGTAGTAGTAGTATAGGTGTAGTAGTAGTATAGGTGTGGTAGTAGTAGTATAGGTGTAGTAGTAGAAGTATAGGTGTAGTAGTAGAAGTATAGGTGTGGTAGTAGTAGTATAGGTGTAGTAGTAGTAGTATAGGTGTAGTAGTAGTAGTATAGGTGTAGTAGTATAGGTGTAGTAGTAGTATAGGTGTAGTAGTAGTATAGGTGTAGTAGTAGTATAGGTGTAGTAGTAGTATAGGTGTAGTAGTATAGGTGTAGTAGTAGTATAGGTGTAGTAGTAGTATAGGTGTAGTAGTAGTAGTATAGGTGTAGTAGTAGTAGTATAGGTGTAGTAGTAGTATAGGTGTAGTAGTAGTAGTATAGGTGTAGTAGTAGTAGTATAGGTGTAGTAGTAGTATAGGTGTAGTAGTATAGGTGTAGTAGTAGTATAGGTGTATCAGTAGTAGTATAGGTGTATCAGTAGTAGTATAGGTGTAGTAGTAGTATAGGTGTAGTAGTAGTATAGGTGTAGTAGTAGTATAGGTGTAGTAGTAGTAGTAGTATAGGTGTAGTAGTAGTATAGGTGTAGTAGTAGTATAGGTGTAGTAGTAGTATAGGTGTAGTAGTAGTATAGGTGTAGTAGTAGTATAGGTGTAGTAGTAGTAGTATAGGTGTAGTAGTAGTAGTATAGGTGTAGTAGTATAGGTGTAGTAGTAGTAGTATAGGTGTAGTAGTAGTAGTATAGGTGTAGTAGTAGTATAGGTGTAGTAGTAGTATAGGTGTAGTAGTAGTATAGGTGTAGTAGTAGTATAGGTGTAGTAGTAGTATAGCTGTAGTAGTAGTATAGGTGTAGTAGTAGTATAGGTGTAGTAGTAGTATAGGTGTAGTAGTAGTATAGGTGTAGTAGTAGTAGTATAGGTGTAGTAGTAGTATAGGTGTAGTAGTAGTATAGGTGTGGTAGTAGTATAGGTGTGGTAGTAGTAGTATAGGTGTAGTAGTAGTAGTATAGGTGTAGTAGTAGTATAGGTGTAGTAGTAGTATAGGTGTAGTAGTAGTATAGGTGTAGTAGTAGTATAGGTGTAGTAGTAGTATAAGTGTAGTAGTAGTAGTATAAGTGTAGTAGTAGTATAGGTGTAGTAGTAGTATAGAGGGTGTGTAGTAGTAGTATAGGTGTAGTAGTATAGGTGTAGTAGTAGTAGTATAGAGGGTGTGTAGTAGTAGTATAGGTGTAGTAGTAGTATAGGTGTAGTAGTATAGGTGTAGTAGTAGTAGTATAGAGGGTGTGTAGTAGTAGTATAGGTGTAGTAGTAGTATAGGTGTAGTAGTAGTATAGGTGTAGTAGTAGTATAAGTGTAGTAGTAGTAGTATAAGTGTAGTAGTAGTATAGGTGTAGTAGTAGTATAGAGGGTGTGTAGTAGTAGTATAGGTGTAGTAGTATAGGTGTAGTAGTAGTAGTATAGAGGGTGTGTAGTAGTAGTATAGGTGTAGTAGTAGTATAGGTGTAGTAGTATAGGTGTAGTAGTAGTAGTATAGAGGGTGTGTAGTAGTAGTATAGGTGTAGTAGTAGTATAGAGGGTGTGTAGTAGTAGTATAGAGGGTGTGTAGTAGTAGTATAGAGTGTAGTAGTAGTATAGAGGGTGTGTAGTAGTATAGGTGTAGTAGTAGTAGTATAGGTGTAGTAGTATAGGTGTAGTAGTATAGGTGTAGTAGTAGTATAGAGGGGGGTGTAGTATAGGTGTAGTAGTATAGGTGTAGTAGTATAGGTGTAGTAGTAGTAGTATAGGTGTAGTAGTAGTAGTATAGAGGGGGGTGTGTAGTAACGGCCCCCACCTTATCTAGAGGGATGTGTCCGCGTGAGTCCAGGTGAATGCCGCTGTGCTTGAGGAACCCTGTGGAGGGGACGACCCCTACAGACACAGCACGTGGGGGGGTGGGACACGTGGTGGGGGGTGGGACACGTAGGGGTGGGACACGTGGGGGGGACCCCTCCTGCACCACAGCCGCCTTTGTCTCCCCCCATGTCTCACTCCCCCCGTGTCTCACTCCCCCCGTGTCTCACTCCCCCCGTGTCTCACTCCCCCCGTGTCTCTCTCCCCCCGTGTCTCTCTCCCCCCGTGTCTCTCTCCCCCCGTGTCTCTCTCCCCCCGTGTCTCTCTCCCCCCGTGTCTCTCTCCCCCCGTGTCTCTCTCCCCCCGTGTCTCTCTCCCCCCGTGTCTCTCTCCCCCCGTGTCTCTCTCCCCCCGTGTCTCTCTCCCCCCGTGTCTCTCTCCCCCCGTGTCTCTCTCCCCCCGTGTCTCTCTCCCCCCGTGTCTCTCTCCCCCCGTGTCTCTCTCCCCCCGTGTCTCTCTCCCCCCGTGTCTCTCTCCCCCCGTGTCTCTCTCCCCCCGTGTCTCTCTCCCCCCGTGTCTCTCTCCCCCGGTGTCTCTCTCCCCCCGTGTCTCTCTGCCCCCGTGTCTCTCTCCCCCCGTGTCTCTCTCCCCCCGTATCTCTCTCCCCCCGTGTCTCTCTCGCCCCGTGTCTCTCTCCCCCCGTGTCTCCCGCCCCGTGTCTCTCTCCCCCACCCACGTGTCTCTCTCCCCCCGTGTCTCTCTCCCCCACCCACGTGTCTCTCTCCCCCCGTGTCTCTCTCCCCGTGTCTCCCGCCCCGTGTCTCTCCCCCCGTGTCTCTCCCCCCGTGTCTCCCGCCCCGTGTCTCTCCCCCCCCCCCCCCCCGTGTCTCTCCCCCCCCCCCCCGTGTCTCTCCCCCCGCGTCTCTCCCTCCGTGCATCTCTCCCTACCCACGTGTCACACCCCCCCCACCCACCCACGTGTCACCCCACGTGTCACCCCACGTGACACACCCCCCACCCACCCACGTGACATACCGATGCCCATGACGCAGACGTCGGCCCTGAGCACTTTGCCGCTCTTCAGTTTCACTTCCCTGAGACGTCCGTCCACGCCACGGAGCTCCGACACCTCGTGACTCATGTAGAACTTGACCCCGTGACGTTCACACAGCTGTGTGGGGGGTGGGACACGTGGGGGGTGGGTCACGTGGGGGTGAGACACCTCGTGACTCATGTAGAACTTGACCCCGTGACGTTCACACAGCTGTGTGGGGGGTGGGACACGTGGTGTGGGTGGGTGGGTCACGTGGGGTGAGACACCTCGTGACTCATGTAGAACTTGACCCCGTGACGTTCACACAGCTGTGTGGGGGGTGGGACACGTGGGGGTGGGTCACGTGGGGGTGAGACACCTCGTGACTCATGTAGAACTTGACCCCGTGACGTTCACACAGCTGTGTGGGGGGTGGGACACGTGGGGGTGGGACACGTGGGGGTGGGTCACGTGGGGTGAGACACCTCGTGACTCATGTAGAACTTGACCCCGTGACGTTCACACAGCTGTGTGGGGGGTGGGACACGTGGGGGGGGGGTCACGTGGGGGTGAGACACCTCGTGACTCATGTAGAACTTGACCCCGTGACGTTCACACAGCTGTGTGGGGGGTGGGACACGTGGGGGTGGGTCACGTGGGGTGAGACACCTCGTGACTCATGTAGAACTTGACCCCGTGACGTTCACACAGCTGTGTGGGGGGTGGGACACGTGGGGGTGGGACACGTGGGGTGGGGGGGTGGCACACGTGGGGTGAGACACCTCGTGACTCATGTAGAACTTGACCCCGTGACGTTCACACAGCTGTGTGGGGGGTGGGACACGTGGGGGTGGGACACGTGGGGGTGGGACACGTGGGGGTGGGGGTGGGACACCTCGTGACTCATGTAGAACTTGACCCCGTGACGTTCACACAGCTGTGTGGGGGGTGGGACACGTGGGGGTGGGACACGTGGGGTGAGACACCTCGTGACTCATGTAGAACTTGACCCCGTGACGTTCACACAGCTGTGAGGGGGGTGGGACACGTGGGGGTGGGACACGTGGTGGTGTGGGTCACGTGGTGGTGTGGGTCACGTGGGGGTGGGACACGTGGGGGTGGGACACCTCGTGACTCATGTAGAACTTGACCCCGTGACGTTCACACAGCTGTGAGGGGGGTGGGACACGTGGGGGTGGGACACGTGGTGGGGTGGGACACGTGGGGGTGGGACACGTGGTGTGGGGGGGTGGGACACCTCGTGACTCATGTAGAACTTGACCCCGTGACGTTCACACAGCTGTGTGGGGGGTGGGACACGTGGTGGGGTGGGTCACGTGGTGGGGTGGGACACGTGGGGGTGGGACACGTGGGGGTGGGACACCTCGTGACTCATGTAGAACTTGACCCCGTGACGTTCACACAGCTGTGAGGGGGGTGGGACACGTGGGGTGGGACACGTGGTGGGGTGGGACACGTGGGGGGGTGGGACACGTGGTGTGGGGGGGTGGGACACCTCGTGACTCATGTAGAACTTGACCCCGTGACGTTCACACAGCTGTGTGGGGGGTGGGACACGTGGTGGGGTGGGTCACGTGGTGGGGTGGGACACGTGGGGGTGGGACACGTGGGGGTGGGTCACGTGGGGGTGGGTCACCTCGTGACTCATGTAGAACTTGACCCCGTGACGTTCACACAGCTGTGTGGGGGGTGGGACACGTGGGGGTGGGACACGTGGTGGGGTGGGACACGTGGTGGTGTGGGTCACGTGGGGGTGGGACACGTGGGGGTGGGTCACCTCGTGACTCATGTAGAACTTGACCCCGTGACGTTCACACAGCTGTGTGGGGGGTGGGACACGTGGGGGTGGGACACGTGGGGGTGGGTGGATGGGACACGTGGTGGTGGGTGAAACACGTGGTGTGGGTGGGTGAGACACGTGGTGTGGGTGGGTGGGACACGTGGTGTGGGTGGGTGGGACACGTGGTGGTGGATGGGTGGGACACGTGGTGTGGTGGTGGTGTGGTGGTGGTGGGACACGTGGTGGTGGGTGGGACACGTGGTGTGGGTGGGTGAAACACGTGGTGTGGGTGGGTGGGACACGTGGTGTGGGTGGGTGGGTGGGACACGTGGTGTGGGTGGGTGGAACACGTGGTGTGAGTGGGTGGGACACGTGGTGTGGGTGGGTGGGACACGTGGTGTGGGTGGTGAGACACGTGGTGTGGGTGGGTGAGACACGTGGTGTGGGTGGTGAGACACGTGGTGGGTGGTGGTGTGCTGGTGGAACAGGTGGTGTGGGTGGGATACGGGGTGGTGGGTGGTGAGACACGTGGTGGTGGGTGGATGGGACACGTGGTGGTGGGTGGAACACGTGGTGTGTGGGTGGGTGGGACACGTGGTGGTGTGCTGGTGGGACACGTGGTGGTGGGAGAGACACGTGGTGTGGGTGGTGAGTCACGTGGTGTGGTGGGTGAGACACGTGGTGTGGGTGGATGGGACACGTGGTGTGGGTGGGTGGGACACGTGGTGTGGGTGGGTGGGACACGTGGTGGGTGGGACACGTGGTGTGGGTGGGTGGGACACGTGGTGGTGGGGGGTGGAACACGTGGTGTGGGTGGTGGAACACGTGGTGTGGGTGGGTGGGACACGTGGTGTGGGTGGGTGGGACACGTGGTGGTGGGTGGGTGGGACACTTGGTGTGGGTGGGTGGGACACGTGGTGTGGGTGGGTGAGACACGTGGTGTGGGTGGGTGGGACACGTGGTGTGGGTGGTGAGACACGTGGTGGTGGGGGGTGAGACACGTGGTGGTGGGTGGTGAGACACGTGGTGGTGGTGGGTGGCACACGTGGTGTGGGTGGGTGGGACACGTGGTGTGGGTGAGACACGTGGTGTGGGTGGGTGGGACACGTGGTGGTGGTGGGTGGCACACGTGGTGTGGGTGGCTGAGACACGTGGTGTGGGTGGGTGGCACACGTGGTGTGGGTGGGTGGGACACGTGGTGTGGGTGGGTGGGACACGTGGTGTGGGTGGGTGGGTGGGACACGTGGTGTGGGTGGGTGGAACACGTGGTGTGAGTGGGTGGGACACGTGGTGTGGGTGGGTGAGACACGTGGTGTGGGTGGTGAGACACGTGGTGGGTGGTGGTGTGCTGGTGGAACACGTGGTGTGGGTGGGATACGTGGTGGTGGGTGGTGAGACACGTGGTGGTGGGTGGATGGGACACGTGGTGGTGGGTGGAACACGTGGTGTGTGGGGGGGTGGGACACGTGGTGGTGTGCTGGTGGGACACGTGGTGGTGGGAGAGACACGTGGTGTGGGTGGTGAGTCACGTGGTGTGGTGGGTGAGACACGTGGTGTGGGTGGATGGGACACGTGGTGTGGGTGGGTGGGACACGTGGTGTGGGTGGGTGGGACACGTGGTGGGGGGGACACGTGGTGTGGGTGGGTGGGACACGTGGTGGTGGGGGGTGGGACACGTGGTGTGGGTGGTGGAACACGTGGTGTGGGTGGGTGGGACACGTGGTGTGGGTGGGTGGGACACGTGGTGGTGGGTGGGTGGGACACGTGGTGTGGGTGGGTGGGACACGTGGTGTGGGTGGGTGGGACACGTGGTGGGGGTGGGTGGGACACGTGGTGTGGGTGGTGAGACACGTGGTGGTGGGGGGTGAGACACGTGGTGGTGGGTGGTGAGACACGTGGTGGTGGTGGGTGGCACACGTGGTGTGGGTGGGTGGGACACGTGGTGTGGGTGAGACACGTGGTGTGGGTGGGTGGGACACGTGGTGGTGGTGGGTGGCACACGTGGTGTGGGTGGCTGAGACACGTGGTGTGGGTGGGTGGCACACGTGGTGTGGGTGGGTGGGACACGTGGTGTGGGTGGGTGGGACACGTGGTGTGGGTGGGTGGGACACGTGGTGGGTGGGACACGTGGTGTGGGTGGGTGGGACATGTGGTGGTGGGGGGTGGAACACGTGGTGTGGGTGGTGGAACACGTGGTGTGGGTGGGTGGGACACGTGGTGTGGGTGGGTGGGACACGTGGTGGTGGGTGGGTGGGACACGTGGAGTGGGTGGGTGGGACACGTGGTGTGGGTGGGTGGGACACGTGGTGTGGGTGGTGAGACACGTGGTGGTGGGGGGTGAGACACGTGGTGGTGGGTGGTGAGACACGTGGTGGTGGTGGGTGGCACACGTGGTGTGGGTGGGTGGGACACGTGGTGTGGGTGAGACACGTGGTGTGGGTGGGTGGGACACGTGGTGGTGGTGGGTGGCACACGTGGTGTGGGTGGGTGAGACACGTGGTGTGGGTGGCTGAGACACGTGGTGTGGGTGGGTGGCACACGTGGTGTGGGTGGGTGGGACACGTGGTGTGGGTGGTGAGACACGTGGTGTGGGTGGGTGGGACACGTGGTGGTGGGTGGTGAGACACGTGGTGGTGGTGGGTGGCACACGTGGTGTGGGTGGGTGGGACACGTGGTGTGGGTGAGACACGTGGTGTGGGTGGGTGGGACACGTGGTGGTGGTGGGTGGCACACGTGGTGTGGGTGGGTGAGACACGTGGTGTGGGTGGCTGAGACACGTGGTGTGGGTGGGTGGCACACGTGGTGTGGGTGGGTGGAACACGTGGTGTGGGTGAGACACGTGGTGTGGGTGGGTGAGACACGTGGTGTGGGTGGGTGGCACACGTGGTGTGGGTGAGACACGTGGTGTGGGTGGGTGAGACACGTGGTGTGGGTGGGTGGGACACGTGGTGTGGGTGGGTGAGACACGTGGTGTGGTGGTGGTGTGGGTGGGTGGGACACGTGGTGTGGTGGTGGAACACGTGGTGTGGGTGGGTGGGACACGTGGTGGTGGTGGGTGGGACACGTGGTGTGGGTGGGTGGGACACGTGGTGTGGGTGGGTGGGACACGTGGTGTGGGTGGGTGGGACACGTGGTGGGTGGATGGGACACGTGGTGGTGGGTGGGTGGGACACGTGGTGTGGGTGAGACACGTGGTGTGGGTGGGTGGGACACCTTCATGATGGCCTGTCCCACCAGCACGCCGAGTGTCCGCTTGAAGGGCACGTCCGACGATCCCACCACAGAGACAGAGTGGGCCTTGTCCGAGAGAGACGCGGCCACCTCCATCCCTGGAGACACCACGGAGACACAGAGACACCCTGGAGACACAGAGACACAGAGACACCACAGAGACAGAGTGGGCCTTGTCCGAGAGAGACGCGGCCACCTCCATCCCTGGAGACACCACGGAGACACAGAGACACCCTGGAGACACAGAGACACAGAGACACCACAGAGACAGAGTGGGCCTTGTCCGAGAGAGACGCGGCCACCTCCATCCCTGGAGACACCACGGAGACAGACACAGAGACACAGAGACACCCTGGAGACACAGACACAGAGACACCACAGAGACAGAGTGGGCCTTGTCCGAGAGACGCGGCCACCTCCATCCCTGGAGACACAGAGACACAGAGACACAGAGACACCCTGGAGACACAGAGACACAGAGACACCCTGGAGACACAGAGACACAGAGACACCCTGGAGACACAGAGACACCCTGGAGACACAGAGACACAGAGACACCACGGAGACAGAGTGGGCCTTGTCCGAGAGAGACGCGGCCACCTCCATCCCTGGAGACACGGAGACACAGAGACACAGAGACACCCTGGAGACACAGAGACACAGAGACACCCTGGAGACACAGAGACACAGAGACACCCTGGAGACACAGAGACACCCTGGAGACACAGAGACACAGAGACACCACGGAGACAGAAGGGGCCTTGTCCGAGAGAGACGCGGCCACCTCCATCCCTGGAGACACCACGGAGACACAGAGACACCCTGGAGACACACAGACACAGAGACACAGAGACACCACAGAGACACAGAGACACAGAGACACCCTGGAGACACAGAGACACAGAGACACCCTAGGGACACAGAGACACCATAGAGACACAGAGACACCCTGGAGACACAGAAACACAGAGACACCCTGGAGACACCCTGGAGACACAGAGACACTCTGGAGACACAGAGACACCCTGGAGACACAGAGACACAGAGACACCACAGAGACAGAATGGGCCTTGTCCGAGAGAGACGCGGCCACCTCCATCCCTGGAGACACAGAGACACCCTGGAGACACCACAGAGACACAGAGACACCACAGAGACAGAGTGGGCCTTGTCCGAGAGAGACGCGGCCACCTCCATCCCTGGAGACACAGAGACAGACAGACACAGAGACACAGAGACACCCTGGAGACACAGACACAGAGACACCACAGAGACAGAGTGGGCCTTGTCCGAGAGAGACGCGGCCACCTCCATCCCTGGAGACACCACGGAGACACAGAGACACCCTGGAGACACAGAGACACAGAGACACAGAGACACCCTGGAGACACAGAGACACAGAGACACCGAGACACCACTGAGACAGAATGGGCCTTGTCCGAGAGAGACGCGGCCACCTCCATCCCTGGAGACACCACGGAGACAGACAGACACAGAGACACCCTGGAGACACAGAGACACAGAGACACCACAGAGACACAGAGACACCCTGGAGACACGGAGACACAGAGACACCACAGAGACACAGAGACACCCTGGAGACACCACGGAGACACAGAGACACAGAGACACCACAGAGACACAGAGACACAGAGACACCACAGAGACAGAGTGGGCCTTGTCCGAGAGAGACGCGGCCACCTCCATCCCTGGAGACACCACGGAGACAGACAGACACAGAGACACCCTGGAGACACAGAGACACAGAGACACCACGGAGACACAGAGACACCCTGGAGACACAGAGACACAGAGACACCACGGAGACACAGAAACACCCTGGAGACACAGAGACACCCTGGAGACACAGAGACACCACGGAGACAGAAGGGGCCTTGTCCGAGAGAGACGCGGCCACCTCCATCCCTGGAGACACAGAGACACAGAGACACCACAGAGACACAGAGACACCCTGGAGACACAGAGATACCCTGGAGACACAGAGACACAGAGACACCCTGGAGACACAGAGACAGAGTGGGCCTTGTCCGAGAGAGACGCGGCCACCTCCATCCCTGGAGACACAGAGACACGGAGACACAGAGACACAGAGACACCCTGGAGACATAGAGACACCCTGGAGACACAGAGACACAGAGACACCCTGGAGACACAGAGACACCCTGGAGACACAGAGACACAGAGACACCCTGGAGACACAGAGACACCCTGGAGACACAGAGACACCCTGGAGACACGGAGACACAGAGACACAGAGACACCCTGGAGACACAGAGACACCCTGGAGACACAGAGACACCCTGGAGACACAGAGACACAGAGACACCCTGGAGACAGAATGGGCCTTGTCTGAGAGAGACGCGGCCACCTCCATCCCTGGAGACACCACGGAGACACAGAGACACCCTGGAGACACAGAGACACAGAGACACCCTGGAGACACAGAGACACAGAGACACAGAGACACACAGACACAGAGACACAGAGACACGGAGACACAGAGACACAGAGACACCCTGGAGACACAGAGACGCAGAGACACCCTGGAGACACCCTGGAGACACGGAGACACAGAGACACAGAGACACCCTGGAGACACAGAGACACAGAGACACAGAGACACCCTGGAGACACAGAGACACCCTGGAGACACAGAGACACAGAGACACCCTGGAGACACAGAGACACAGAGACACAGAGACACCACGGAGACACCCTGGAGACACAGAGACACAGAGACACCCTGGAGACACAGAGACACAGAGACACAGAGACACCACGGAGACACAGAAACACAGAGACACAGATACACCACAGAGACAGAGTGGGCCTTGTCCAAGAGAGACGCGGCCACCTCCATCCCTGGAGACACGGAGACACGGAGACACCCTGGAGACACAGAGACACAGAGACACCACGGAGACACAGAGACACGGAGACACCCTGGAAACAAAATGGGCCTTGTCTGAGAGAGACGCGGCCACCTCCATCCCTGGAGACACCACGGAGACACAGAGACACCCTGGAGACACAGAGACACAGAGACACAGAGACACCCTGGAGACACAGAGACACAGAGACACAGAGACACACAGACACAGAGACACAGAGACACGGAGACACAGAGACACAGAGACACCCTGGAGACACAGAGACGCAGAGACACCCTGGAGACACCCTGGAGACACGGAGACACAGAGACACAGAGACACCCTGGAGACACAGAGACACAGAGACACAGAGACACCCTGGAGACACAGAGACACCCTGGAGACACAGAGACACAGAGACACCCTGGAGACACAGAGACACAGAGACACAGAGACACAGAGACACCACGGAGACACCCTGGAGACACAGAGACACAGAGACACCCTGGAGACACAGAGACACAGAGACACCACGGAGACACAGAAACACAGAGACACAGATACACCACAGAGACAGCGTGGGCCTTGTCCAAGAGAGACGCGGCCACCTCCATCCCTGGAGACACAGAGACACGGAGACACCCTGGAGACACAGAGACACAGAGACACCACGGAGACAGAATGGGCCTTGTCTGAGAGAGACGCGGCCACCTCCATCCCTGGAGACACGGAGACACGGAGACACCCTGGAAACAAAATGGGCCTTGTCTGAGAGAGACGTGGCCACCTCCATCCCTGGAGACACCACGGAGACACAGAGACACCCTGGAGACACAGAGACACAGAGACACAGAGACACCCTGGAGACACAGAGACACAGAGACACAGAGACACAGAGACACACAGACACAGAGACACAGAGACACGGAGACACAGAGACACCCTGGAGACACAGAGACGCAGAGACACCCTGGAGACACCCTGGAGACACGGAGACACAGAGACACAGAGACACCCTGGAGACACAGAGACACAGAGACACAGAGACACCCTGGAGACACAAAGACACCCTGGAGACACAGAGACACAGAGACACCCTGGAGACACAGAGACACAGAGACACAGAGACACCACGGAGACACCCTGGAAACACAGAGACACAGAGACACCCTGGAGACACAGAGACACAGAGACACCATGGAGACACAGAAACACAGAGACACAGATACACCACAGAGACAGAGTGGGCCTTGTCCAAGAGAGACGCGGCCACCTCCATCCCTGGAGACACCACGGAGACACAGAGACACCCTGGAGACACAGAGACACAGAGACACAGAGACACCCTGGAGACACAGAGACACAGAGACACAGAGACACAGAGACACACAGACACAGAGACACAGAGACACCCTGGAGACACAGAGACACAGAGACACCCTGGAGACACAGAGACGCAGAGACACCCTGGAGACACCCTGGAGACACGGAGACACAGAGACACAGAGACACCCTGGAGACACAGAGACACAGAGACACAGAGACACCCTGGAGACACAGAGACACCCTGGAGACACAGAGACACAGAGACACCCTGGAGACACAGAGACACAGAGACACAGAGACACCACGGAGACACCCTGGAGACACAGAGACACAGAGACACCCTGGAGACACAGAAACACAGAGACACCACGGAGACACAGAAACACAGAGACACAGATACACCACAGAGACAGCGTGGGCCTTGTCCAAGAGAGACGCGGCCACCTCCATCCCTGGAGACACGGAGACACGGAGACACCCTGGAGACAGAATGGGCCTTGTCTGAGAGAGACGTGGCCACCTCCATCCCTGGAGACACCACGGAGACACAGAGACACCCTGGAGACACAGAGACACAGAGACACAGAGACACCCTGGAGACACAGAGACACAGAGACACAGAGACACACAGACACAGAGACACCCTGGAGACACAGATACACAGAGACACCCTGGAGACACAGAGACGCAGAGACACCCTGGAGACACCCTGGAGACACGGAGACACAGAGACACAGAGACACCCTGGAGACACAGAGACACCCTGGAGACACCCTGGAGACACAGAGACACCCTGGAGACACAGAGACACAGAGACACCACGGAGAAACAGAGACACAGAGACACCACGGAGACACAGAGACACCCTGGAGACACCCTGGAGACACCCTGGAGACACAGAGACACAGAGACACCCTGGAGACACACAGACACAGAGACACAGAGACACAGAGACACCACGGAGACAGAGTGGGCCTTGTCCGAGAGAGACGCGGCCACCTCCATCCCTGGAGACACCACGGAGACACCCTGGAGACACGGAGACACAGAGACACAGAGACACAGAGACACCCTGGAGACACAGAGACACAGAGACACCACGGAGACACAGAGACACAGAGACACCCTGGAGACACGGAGACAGACAGACACAGAGACACAGAGACACCCTGGAGACACGGAGACACAGAGACACAGAGACACCCTGGAGACACAGAGACACAGAGACACCCTGGAGACAGAGAGACACAGAGACACCCTGGAGACACAGAGAAACCCTGGAGACACCCTAGAGACACAGAGAGACACAGAGAAACCCTGGAGACACCCTAGAGACACAGAGAGACACAGAGACACCCTGGAGACACAGAGACACAGAGAGACACAGAGACACAGAGAGACACAGAGAAACCCTGGAGACACCCTAGAGACACAGAGAGACACAGAGAAACCCCGGAGACACCCTAGAGACACAGAGAGACACAGAGACACCCTGGAGACACCCTAGAGACACAGAGAGACACAGAGAAACCCTGGAGACACCCTAGAGACACAGAGAGACACAGAGACACCCTGGAGACACAGAGACACCACGGAGACACAGAGACACAGAGAGACACAGAGACACAGAGACACAGAGACAGAGAGACACCCTGGAGACACAGAGACACAGAGACACCCTGGAGACACAGAGACACCACGGAGACACAGAGACACCCTGGAGACACAGAGACACAGAGACACAGAGACAGAGAGACACCCTGGAGACACAGAGACACAGAGACACAGAGACACCACGCAGACAGAATGGGCCTTGTCCGAGAGAGACGCGGCCACCTCCATCCCTGGAGACACGGGGTCACGGGGTCACGGAGACACAGGGTCACGGGGTCACGGAGACACAGGGGCACAGGGTCACGGGGTCATGGAGAGTGAGACACGGGGTCACAGGGTCACGGAAAGTGAGACACGGGGTCAAGGGGTCACACCAATGAATGATGACACCACCACCACGAGGTTGACTCCGGCTGCCATGCTGGCGATGGGGATGGCTTCGTCCCGTGACCTCAGAGTGGTGAGGAGTGGTGAGTGGTGGTGGTGAGTGGTGGTGAGGAGTGGTGGTGAGGAGTGGTGAGTGGTGGTGAGTGGTGAGTGGTGGTGAGTGGTGGTGGTGAGTGGTGGTGAGGAGTGGTGGTGAGGAGTGGTGAGCGGTGGTGAGGGGTGGTGGTGAGTGGTGAGCGGTGGTGAGCGGTGGTGAGTGGTGGTGGTGAGTGGTGGTGAGTAGTGGTGGTGAGGAGTGGTGAGGAGTGGTGAGGAGTGGTGAGGAGCGGTGGTGGTGATGAGGAGTGGTGAGTGGTGGTGAGCGGTGAGTGGTGGTGAGGAGTGGTGAGGAGTGGTGAGTGGTGAGTGGTGAGTGGTGGTGGTGAGGAGTGGTGAGTAGTGGTGAGGAGAGCTCACCAATGAAGGACGAGCCCACGACCACGAGGTTAGCCCCGGCGGCCATGCTCGCGATGCGATTGGCTTCGTCCGGAGACCTCAGGGTGGTGGTGAGTGGTGGTGAGTGGTGAGTGGTGGTGAGGAGTGGTGAGGAGTGGTGAGGAGCGGTGGTGAGGAGAGCTCACCAATGAAGGACGAGCCCACGACCACGAGGTTAGCCCCGGCAGCCATGCTCGCGATGCGATTGGCTTCGTCCGGAGACCTCAGGGTGGTGGTGAGTGGTGGTGAGTGGTGAGTGGTGGTGAGTGGTGGTGGTGAGGAGTGGTGAGTAGTGGTGAGGAGAGCTCACCAATGAACGACGAGCCCACGACCACGAGGTTAGCCCCGGCAGCCATGCTCGCGATGCGATTGGCTTCGTCCGGAGACCTCAGGGTGGTGGTGAGTGGTGGTGAGTGGTGAGTGGTGAAGAGTGGTGAGGAGTGGTGAGGAGCGGTGGTGAGGGGCTCACCAATGAAGGACGAGCCCACGACCACGAGGTTAGCCCCGGCGGCCATGCTCGCGATGCGATTGGCTTCGTCCGGAGACCTCAGGGTGGTGGTGAGTGGTGGTGAGTGGTGAGTGGTGGTGAGGAGTGGTGAGTGGTGGTGAGGAGAGCTCACCAATGAACGACGAGCCCACGACCACGAGGTTAGCCCCGGCGGCCATGCTCGCGATGCGATTGGCTTCGTCCGGAGACCTCAGGGTGAAGACTCCCTCGAGGTGGGCACCAGGGCAGGAGAGGACACGTGGCCTGGGGGTGTGACGTCACGCACACACGCAGTGACGTCACACGCACAGTGACGTCACACGCACAGTGACAACAACAACAACAACCGCCATTCGCCACTAAGTGGCGGTGACGTCACCACGACGCTTGTGCTAGGCTATGTGCACCTTGAGGGCTACCCTCGGGGCTACTCCAGAAACAACGAAAAGCCACTACGGGTGGCCACGTGGAATGTTCGAACGCTCACTGCGGAGGAGAGACTGCCACTCCTCTGTCGGGAGCTGGACCGGTACCGCCTGGATCTATGCGGCATTCAGGAGGTCCGGTGGACCGGCTCTGGCTCCTGCCACCATGAGGGGTGGACAGTCCTCTACTCGGGGCAGCAGACTGCCAAACAACAGGGTGTGGGTCTTCTTTTGAACAAAAGAATGAAGGGGGCGTGGGAGCGTGGCGGTGAGGTGTGGGAAGCTGTAAGCCCCAGGCTACTTTGGGCTCGCCTTCCCATCAACCGGAGGCGAGGAATGGTGGTCGTGGTTACTTATGCCCCCACCGAAGATGAACATCCGTGGAGGGATGCAGGCAAAGCCGATGAGTCAGATGCCTTCTATGACCTCCTGTCACAGGTGCTGGCTAAAGTGGCCCCTCGGGATAGAGTCATCATATTGGGTGACTTCAATGCCCGAGTTGGTCATGATACTGGCACCTGGTCTGGAGTGATTGGAGGGCATGGGCCAGATCAGCTCAATAACAACGGTAGGAGGCTGCTAGATTTTTGTGCAGCCCATGGGCTTGTAATTACCAACACGCTGTTCCGGCATCGGCGCATCCACACAACATCATGGATGCATGCCGGGTCCAAGCAAGAACATCTGCTGGACTACATAGTGACGGACCAGCGAATGCGAGCCCATGTCCTTGACACCAGGACCTACCGTGGAGCTGATCTGCCCTCTGACCATCGACTAGTCATCTGTAAGATGCGCCTGCCATTCTTCCACTCCGGTGGTGGGTGTACAACCAGGACCCCATTCCAACCTAAAGTGGCCTGGTCTCAGTTATCTGATGAAAGTTGCAAGCGAGAATTTCATCATCGCTTGCGGCTGGGATTGGCATCGTCCCCGACTCCTCCTGATGTCGAGGGTAAATGGGCGAGGTTTAGGACTGTGACTCATGCAGCTGCAATGGCTGCTTTGGGAACGCGGTCCAGACCTCCCCAGACACCCTGGCTGACAGAGGAGTTGTTCAGGATGGTTGAGAAAAAGCGACAGGCACACTGTCATCGGCTACAGAATCCCACGTCAGAGAATGAGGAGGCTTACCGCAGCCTTCGCTCGGAGGTTCGGAGAGCCGTGAGGCGCTGCAAGGATGGGTGGTGGTCGCGGGTTGCTGAGGAGATGGAGTCTGCCTCAGTGGCCCGTGATCACAAATCTCTATTTAACTCCATCAAAAAAGTAACCTGCAGCACCACACCTATTACCATCGTTAGGGGAAAAAACGGTGATCCAATTTCCGACCCCCAGGAACAGGTTCGCAGATTTGCTGAGCATTTCTGTGAGGTCCTGGGGGAGGGAAAATCCCTCAGCCAGGAAAACATCGTGGCACAAAGTGAGGATGACCCTGCTGAGGCTGCGGTGCCTCAAATATTGGATGAAGTCACCCCCTGTGAGTGGCTGGCTGAGGTGCCATCTGCTGAGGAAGTATTGAAGGCGATCCGAAGTCTGAGACCAGGAAAGGCAGCGGGCAGAGATGATCTCCCAAGCGAAATGCTGAGGGAGGGTGGCGTTTGTGCACAGACTGCCCTATATGACATCATAACAACAGTCTGGACCACTGGACAGGTTCCGCAGGATTGGAAGGATGCCCTGGCGGTCCCCCTTTTTAAGAAGGGGGACCGCATAGACTGTAACAACTACAGGGGCATCTCACTCCTCAGTGTGCCGGGAAAGGTCCTGGCAAGGATTGTTCAGCATCGCCTTGCCAGGCACGCTGAGGAGAGGCTTGCGGAGCCCCAATGCAGTTTCAGGAAAGGGCGGTCCTGCACAGATGCCATATTTTCTGTTCGTCTGCTACAGCAGAGGTGTAGGGAATTCCAACAAGACCTACATCTCTGCTTTATTGACCTGGTCAAGGCCTATGATACCATCAGTAGGCCTGGGCTCTGGGTCGTTCTTCGTGCTTTTGGAGTACCTGACCCTCTGCTCACGATCATTAAGGACCTTCATGATGGTGAGCGGGCCCGGGTAAAACTACGTGGCCGGGAGTCAGAGCCATTCCCTGTACACCATGGGGTGCGACAGGGATGTCCTCTGGCTCCCACATTATTTAACATCTATTTTGACCACGTAGTTCGTGAAGCCTTCAATAGCTGTACCGGGGGAATCTCCATATGGTACAGATATAATGGGAGGCTAATCGATGCCCGGGTGCGGTCAAGGGATGGCTCCCTATTGCTCAACCACGTTATGTATGCTGATGATTTGGTAATAGCTGCTCAGTCAGAGGAGGAGTTGGAGACGCTGCTGCTGAGACTGGAGCGTGCCACTAAGAGGTGGGGCCTTACCATCAGCCCCACCAAAACTAAGCACCTGCCTGGGTATTTTGTACCATCGGACACTCCACCCCCACAACTCCCAATCGGTGATGGGGCAGTTGTGGAGAGAGTGGAGAGTTTCCCATACCTGGGCAGTGTGCTTATGACTGGCTCCAGTTTAACAGCAGAGGTCTCACTCCGAATCAGTCGAGCGGCAATATATTTTCATCGGTTGCGTAACGCTGTGTGGAAGCTACCTGGTCTGTCGCTCCGCACTAAGCTTCAGGTCTTCTCGGCCACGGTCATTCCCTCCCTTCTCTACGCTTGCGAAACGTGGACCCCCCTAATGGAACATCTACGCCGGTTAGAAACATTTAGGCTGGCCTGCCTACGATCCATCCTGGGTTTAACCAGACTGGATTGTGTGAGGAGCTCACAAATCCTTGAAAGATCTGGGCAGGGTCCCATCGGTGAGCTCCTCCGGCAGGCAAGGCTGCGATGGCTGGGTCATGTAGCCCGCATGCCCAGCCACCGCATGCCGAAACAGCTTTTGTTTGGCCGGATTGAGGGGGCTAAGCGGGCGCGGCACGGTCTAGAGAAGAGATGGAGTGATGTGGTACAGGAGGACGTGGAGCTGAGTGGACTTGCCGATGACTGGTACCAGCGGTGTCAAGATCGGCCTCTGTGGAGGAGGCTCGTGAAGGATGCTACTGGGCAGTTGGAGGCAGTCGCCCTCCAACAACAACGGAGGGCGGAGGAGCGACGCTCACAACAACGAGCGGAGCGCCGGGTGGTTAAAGCACAGCAGGTTGGCACAGTAGGGGGCACAGGTGGTGCATCAGCCACTCATCTCAGTCAGTCGACCCGTGGCACCTGGGTCTGCCCCGTGACCTCCTGCCAGCGGGCGTTCGACACTTCACGTGGCCTCAGGGTGCACATAGCCTGGCACAAGCGTCGTGGTGACGTCACCGCCACTTAGTGGCGAATGGCGGTTGTTGTTGTTGTGTGAGTGTGTGTGAGTGAGTGAGTGGGTGAGTGTGTGTGTGAGTGATTGACTGAGTGTGTGAGTGACTGACTGAGTGAGTGTGTGAGTGAGTGTGAGTGAGTGGGTGAGTGAGTGAGTGAGTGGGTGAGCCTCACGTCGCCCCTGTAGCGATGAGGAGTTTGTCGTAAGTCAGCGTAGACCCCGAGGACAGAGTGAGTGAGTGAGTGACCGACTGAGTGAGTGAGTGTGTGGGTGAGTGAGTGGGTGAATGAGTGAGTGAGTGACTGACTGAGTGAGTGAGTGACTGACTGAGTGAGTGTGTGAGTGAGTGAGTGGGTGAGTGATTGACTGACTGACTGAGTGAGTGATTGAGTGGGTGGGTGAGTGAGTGAGTGTGTGGGTGAGTGAGTGAGTGAGCCTCACGTCGCCCCTGTAGCGATGAGGAGTTTGTCGTAAGCCAGCGTAGACCCCGAGGACAGAGTGACAAGCCGACTACGGATGTCTACGGACACGGCCTGGAGACACGGGGGGGGGGGGGAGAGACAGGGGGGGAGAGACACGGGGGTGAGACAGGGGGGGGGGGGGGGGGGGAGAGACACGGGGGGAGAGACAGGGGGGAGAGACAGGGGGGAGAGAGACAGGGGGGAGAGACACAAGGGGGTGAGACAGGGGGGAGAGACAGGGGGAGAGACAGGTGGGGACAAACACAGGGGGAGAGACAGGGGGGGTGAGACAGGGGGTGAGACAGGGGGGAGTCACGGGGAGAGAGAGACACGGGGGGAGAGACACGGGGGGGAGAGACACGGGGAGAGAGACACGGGGGGGAGAGAGACACGGGGAGAGAGACACGGTGAGAGAGACACGGGGGGAGAGAGACACGGGGGGAGAGAGACACGGGGGGAGAGAGACACGGGGAGAGAGACACGGGGGGAGAGAGACACGGGGGGAGAGACACGGGGGAGAGAGACACGGGGGGAGAGACACGGGGGGAGAGACACGGGGGAGAGAGACACAGGGGGAGAGAGACACGGGGAGAGACACGGGGAGAGACACGGGGAGAGAGACGGGGGGAGAGAGACACGGGGAGAGAGAGACACGGGGGGAGAGAGACACGGGGAGAGAGACACGGGGAGAGACACGGGGAGAGAGAGACACGGGGGGAGAGAGACACGGGGGGAGAGAGAGAGAGACACGGGGGGAGAGAGACACGGGGAGAGAAACACGGGGGGAGAGACATGGGGGGAGAGAGACACGGGGGGAGAGACACGGGGAGAGAGAGACACGGGGGGAGAGAGACACGGGGGGAGAGAGAGAGAGACACGGGGGGAGAGAGACACGGGGAGAGAGACACGGGGGGAGAGAGACACGGGGGGAGAGAGACACGGGGGGAGAGACACACGGGGAGAGAGACACGGGGAGAGAGACACGGGGGGAGAGAGACACGGGTGACAAAGACAAAGATCCCCCGTATAGCCTGATCAGACTGTAGGGGCAAGTGCTGTTAGCGAGCAGCACCTATGAAGGCCGGAACTGTACACGAGGGGGTGGGTGGCCAGCACCACGCCCGACCGCCTTTGTCTCCCTAGTGGCGATGTTTACACACCGCACCAGGTACTCATTTGAGGCTGAGTCGACCTAGGGGAGAGGCCCGGGACCGGTTCAGATAATCGTCACTGGTGTTGGCCGTGAGCGGGAATCGAACCCGGGTCACCAGGTTCATAGCGCAGCGTAGCGCTAACCGCTACTACACTATCACGTGTGTGTATCACGTGTGTGTCACGTGATACACACACGTGTGTGTCACGTGATACACACACGTGTGTGTGTCACGTGATACACACACGTGTGTGTCACGTGATACACGCGTGTGTGTGTCACGTGATACACACACGTGTGTGTCACGTGATACACACACGTGTGTGTCACGTGATACACACACGTGTGTGTCACGTGATACACACGTGTGTATCACGTGATACACACGTGCTCACCTCCGTCCCCGTGAGCACGGTGATGTCGTGTTCTTGGTAGAATTCAGGAGGACGCAGGCTCATAGCCTCCGCTGTGGTGTCCATCATCTGGCACACAGTCACACAGTCAGTCACAGTCACACACAGTCACACACACACAGTGACACACAGTCACACACAGTCACACACAGTCACACACACACAGTGACACACAGTCACACAGTCACACAGTCACACACAGAGTCACACACATACACAGTGACACACAGTCACACAGTCACACACACACAGTCACACACACACAGTCAGTCACACACACAGTCACACACACACAGTCACACAGTCACACACACACAGTCACACAGTCACACACACAGTCACACACAGTCAGTCACACACACAGTCACACACAGTCAATCACACACAGTCACACAGTCACACACACAGTCACACAGTCACACACACACAGTCACACAGTCACACAGTCACACACAGTCACACAGTCACACAGTCACACACAGCCACACAGTCACACACACAGTCACACAGTCACACACAGTCACACACACAGTCACACACATACACAGTGACACACAGTCACACAGTCACACACACACAGTCACACACACACAGTCAGTCACACACACAGTCACACACACACAGTCACACAGTCACACACACAGTCACACAGTCACACACACACACAGTCACACAGTCACACACACACAGTCACACAGTCACACACACACAGTCACACAGTCACACACACAGTCACACAGTCACACACACAGTCACACAGTCAGTCACAGTCACACACAGTCACACACACACAGTCACACAGTCACACACAGTTACACACACACAGTCACACACACAGTCACACAGTCACACACAGTCACACACACAGTCACACACACACAGTCACACAGTCACACACAGTCACACACACAGTCACACAAACACAGTGACACACAGTCACACAGTCACACACAGTTACACGGTCACACACACACAGTCACACAGTCACACACACACAGTCACACAGTCACACACACACAGTCACACACAGTCACACAGTCATACAGTCAGTCACAGTCACACACAGTCACACACAGTCACACACACACACAGTGACACACAGTCACACAGTCACACACAGTCACACAGTCACACACAGTCACACAGTCAGTCACAGTCACACACAGTCACACACACAGTGACACACACAGTCACACACACAGTGACACACAGTCACACAGTCACACACAGTCACACAGTCACACACAGTCACACAGTCACAGTCACACACACACAGTCACACAGTGACACACACAGTGACACACACAGTGACACACACACAGTCACACAGTTACACACAGTCACACACAGTCAGTCACACACACAGTCACACACAGTCAGTCACACACAGTCAGTCACACACACGGTCACACACACAGTCACACACAGTCAGTCACACACACAGTGACACACAGTCACACAGTCACACACAGTCACACACAGTCACACACAGTCACATAGTCACACACAGTCACACACAGTCACACACACACAGTGACACACAGTCACACAGTCACACACAGTCACACACACACACAGTCACACACAGTCACACACACACACAGTCACACACAGTCACACAGTCACACACAGTCACACAGTCACACACAGTGACACACACACAGTCACACACACACAGTCACACAGTCACACACACAGTCACACACAGTCAGTCATACACACAGTCACACACAGTCAGTCACACACACAGTCACACACAGTCAGTCACACACAGTAAGTCACACACACAGTCACACACAGTCACACAGTCACACACACACAGTGACACACAGTCACACAGTGACACACAGTCACACACACACACAGTGACACACAGTCACACACACAGTCACACAGTGACACACATTTACACACAGTCACACACACACACACAGTCACACACAGTCACACAGTGACACACAGTCACAAACATACACAGTGACACACAGTTACACAGTCACACACACACACAGTCACACACAGTCACACACAGTCACACACACAGACACACACAGACACACACACACACAGTCACACACAGTCAGTCACACACAGTCAGTCACACACAGTCACACACACACAGTGACACACAGTCACACAGTCACACACAGTCACACACAGTCACACAGTTACACACAGTCACACACACACAGTTACACACACAGTCACACAGTGACACACAGTCATACAGTGACACACAGTCACACACACACACACAGTGACACACAGTCACACACAGTCACACAGTGACACACAGTCACACACACACAGTGACACACACACAGTGACACACACACACAGTCACACACAGTCACACAGTCACACACAGTCAGTCACACACACAGTCACACAGTCACACACAGTCACACACAGTCACACACAGTCAGTCACACACAGTCACACACAGTCATACACAGTCACACACACAGTCACACACAGTCAGTCACACACACAGTCACACACACAGTCACACACACAGTCACACACACAGTCACACACAGTCAGTCACACACACAGTCACACACACAGTGTCACACAGTCACACACAGTCAGTCACACACACAGTCAGTCACACACACAGTCAGTCACACACAGTCACACAGTCACACACAGTCACACACAGTCAGTCACACACACAGTCACACACAGTCAGTCACACACACAGTCACACACAGTCAGTCACACACACAGTCACACACAGTCACACACAGTCACACACACACACAGTGACACACAGTCACACAGTCACACACAGTCACACACAGTCACACACAGTCACACAGTCACACACAGTCACACACACACAGTGACACACACAGTCACACAGTGACACACAGTCACACAGTGACACACAGTCACACAGTGACACACAGTCACACACACACAGTGACACACAGTCACACACACAGTCACACAGTGACACACAGTTACACACAGTCACACACACACACAGTCACACACATACACAGTGACACACAGTTACACACAGTCACACACACACACAGTCACACACAGTCACACACACACAGACACACACAGACACAGACACACACATGGGTCACAGTAGTAGTTAGTGCTAGTTAGTAGGAGTGAGTAGTAGTGGTAAGCTTGTTAGTGCTAGTTAGTGGTTGTTCATGGTAGTTAGCGCTAGTTATTGCCAGTTAGTAGTAGTTAGTGCTAGTTACTGCCAGTTAGTAGTAATTAGTGCTAGTTAGTGCTAGTTAGTGCTAGTTAGTGATAGTGTCACCTTGCTCAGCTTGGGCCTGTCGTGGGGGTGGAAGTGCTCACGAGTGAGTGCTAGTTAGTGCTAGTTAGTGCTAGTTAGTGCTAGTGAGTGCTAGTTAGTGCTAGTGAGTGCTAGTGAGTGCTAGTTAGTGCTAGTGAGTGCTAGTTAGTGCTTGTTAGTGCTAGTTAGTGCTAGTTAGTGCTAGTTAGTGCTAGTTAGTGCTAGTTAGTGCTTGTTAGTGCTAGTTAGTGCTAGTGAGTGCTAGTTAGTGTTAGTTAGTGCTAGTTAGTGCTAGTTAGTGCTAGTTAGTGCTAGTTAGTGCTAGTGAGTGCTAGTTAGTGCTAGTGAGTGCTAGTTAGTGCTAGTGAGTGCTAGTTAGTGCTTGTTAGTGCTAGTTAGTGCTAGTTAGTGCTAGTTAGTGCTAGTTAGTGCTAGTTAGTGCTAGTTGTGGTAGTTAGTGCTAGTTAGTGGTAGTTAGTGCTAGTTAGTGCTAGTTAGTGCTAGTTAGTAGTAGTTAGTGCTAGTTGTGGTAGTTAGTGCTAGTTAGTGCTAGTTAGTGCTAGTTAGTAGTAGTTAGTGCTAGTTAGTGCTAGTTAGTGCTAGTGAGTGCTAGTTAGTGCTAGTTAGTAGTAGTTAGTGCTAGTTAGTGCTAGTGAGTGCTAGTTAGTGCTAGTGAGTGCTAGTTAGTGCTAGTTAGTGCTAGTTAGTGTCACCTTGCTCAGCTTGGGCCTGTCGTAGGGGTGGAAGTGCTCACGAGTGAGTGCTAGTTAGTGCTAGTTAGTGCTAGTTAGTGCTAGTTAGTGCTAGTTAGTGCTAGTGAGTGCTAGTTAGTGCTAGTTAGTGCTAGTTAGTGCTAGTGAGTGCTAGTTAGTGCTAGTTAGTGCTAGTTAGTGCTAGTGAGTGCTAGTTAGTGCTAGTTAGTGCTAGTTAGTGCTAGTTAGTCACCTTGCTCAGCTTGGGCCTGTCGTAGGGGTGGAAGTGCTCGCGAGTGATAGTTAGTGCTAGTTAGTGCTAGTTAGTGCTAGTTAGTGCTAGTGAGTGCTAGTTAGAGCTAGTTAGTGCTAGTGAGTGCTAGTTAGTGCTAGTTAGTAGTAGTTAGTGCTAGTTAGTGCTAGTTAGTGCTAGTGAGTGCTAGTTAGTGCTAGTTAGTGCTAGTTAGTGCTAGTTAGTGCTAGTTAGTGCTAGTTAGTGCTAGTTAGTGCTAGTGAGTGCTAGTTAGTGCTAGTTAGTGCTAGTTAGTGCTAGTTAGTCACCTTGCTCAGCTTGGGCCTGTCGTAGGGGTGGAAGTGCTCGCGAGTGATAGTTAGTGCTAGTTAGTGCTAGTTAGTGCTAGTTAGTGCTAGTGAGTGCTAGTTAGTGCTAGTTAGTGCTAGTTAGTGCTAGTTAGTGCTAGTGAGTGCTAGTTAGTGCTAGTTAGTGCTAGTTAGTGCTAGTTAGTCACCTTGCTCAGCTTGGGCCTGTCGTAGGGGTGGAAGTGCTCGCGAGTGATAGTTAGTGCTAGTTAGTGCTAGTTAGTGCTAGTTAGTGCTAGTTAGTGCTAGTGAGTGCTAGTTAGTGCTAGTTAGTGCTAGTTAGTGCTAGTTAGTGCTTGTGAGTGCTAGTTAGTGCTAGTTAGTGCTAGTTAGTGCTAGTTAGTCACCTTGCTCAGCTTGGGCCTGTCGTAGGGGTGGAAGTGCTCGCGAGTGATCATCGTCACCAGGCCGGTGAAGCCTTCCTGCCTCAGCGTCTCAGCACAAACCACACTAGCAGGTCCTGGGGGGCAGGGGGGGGCACGGGGGGGCACAGGGGGGGGCACGGGGGGAGGAGGGGGGCACAGGGAGGGGTACACGTCAGCCCATCTATTCTGTAGCCCGTGTCACTCACTCACTCACTCACCCAGTCACTCACCCACTCACTAACCCACTCACCCACTCACCCACTCACTCACCTACTCACCCACTCACTCACTCACCTACTCACTCACCTACTCACTCACTCACTCACCTACTCACCCACTCACCCACTCACTCACTCACCTACTCACCCACTCACTCACCTACTCACTCACCTACTCACTCACCTACTCACCCACTCACTAACCCACTCACCCACTCACTCACTCACCTACTCACTCACCTACTCACCCACTCACTCACCTACTCACTCACCTACTCACCCACTCACTCACCTACTCACTCACCTACTCACCCACTCACCCACTCACTAACCCACTCACCCACTCACTAACTCACTCACCTACGCACCCACTCACCTACTCACTCACCTACTCACCCACTCACTAACTCACTCACCTACTCACCCACTCACCCACTCACTCACTCACCTACTCACCCACTCACCCACTCACTCACCTACTCACCTACTCACTCACCTACTCACCCACTCACTAACCCACTCACCTACTCACCCACTCACTAACCCACTCACCCACTCACCCACTCACTAACCCACTCACCCACTCACTCACTCACTCACCCACCCACTCACTCACCCACTCACTCACCCACTCACCCACCCACTCACTCACCCACTCACTCACCCACCCACTCACTCACCCACTCACCCACTCACTCACCCACTCACCCACCCACTCACTCACCCACTCACCCACCCACTCACTCACCCACCCACTCACTCACTCACCCACACACCCACTCACTCACCCACTCACTCACCCACCCACTCACTCACCCACCCACTCACTCACCCACTCACTCACTCACCCACTCACCTACTCACCCACTCACTCACCTACTCACCTACTCACTCACCCACTCACTCACCCACTCACCCACTCACTAACCCACTCACCCACTCACTAACCCACTCACTAACCCACTCACCCACTCACTTACACACTCACCCACTCACTAACCCACTCACTCACTCACCCACTCACTCACCTACTCACCTACTCACCCACTCACTCACCTACTCACCCACTCACCCACTCACTCACCTATTCACCTACTCACTCACCTACTCACCCACTCACTCACCCACTCACTAACCCACTCGCCCACTCACTAACCCACTCACCCACTCACCTACTCACCTACTCTCTCACCTACTCTCTCACCTACTCTCTCACCCACTCACTCACCCACTCACTCACCCACTCACTCACCCACTCAACCACCCACTCACTCACCCACTCACTCACCCACTCACCCACTCGCCCACTCACTCACTCGCCCACTCACTCACTCACTCACCCACTCGCCCACTCACTCACTCACTCACCCACTCACTCACCTACTCACCCACTCTCTCACCCACTCTCTCACCCACTCACTCACCCACTCACTCACCCACTCACTAACCCACTCACCTACTCTCTCACCTACTCACCCACTCACTCACCCACTCTCTCACCCACTCACCCACTCACTCACTCACCTACTCACCCACTCACTCACTCACCTACTCACCCACTCACTAACCCACTCACCCACTCACTAACCCACTCACCCACTCACCCACTCACTAACCCACTCACCCACTCACCCACTCACTAACCCACTCACCCACTCACCCACTCACTAACCCACTCACCTACTCACCCACTCACTAACCCACTCACCCACTCACTAACCCACTCACCCACTCACTCACCCACTCACTCACCCACTCACTCACCCACTCACTCACTCACCCACCCACTCACTCGCCCACTCACTCACTCACTCACCCTCTCACCCACTCACCCACTCACTCACTCACTCACCTACTCACCCACTCACTCACTCACAGGGGTACGAGGGGAGGGGACGGGTGTGATGGGGGGACATGGGGAGACACGTGTGTGAGTTGTTTCATAGGTTGGTGGGTAGGTGGGTGGGTGGGTAGGTGGGTGGGTGGGTAGGTGGGTGGGTAGGTGGGTGGGTGGGTAGGTGGGTTGGTAGGTTGGTGGGTGGGTAGGTGGGTGGGTAGGTAGGTGGGTGGGTAGGTGTGTGGGTATGTGGGTGGGTAGGTGGGTGGGTGGGTGGGTGGGTAGGTGGGTGGGTGGGTAGGTGGGTGGGTTGGTGGGTGGGAAGGTGGGTGGGTGGGTAGGTGGGTAGGTTGGTGGGTAGGTTGGTGGGTGGGTAGGTGAGTGGGTGGGTAGGTGGGTGGGTAGGTGGGTGGGTAGGTGGGTGGGTAGATAGGTGGGTAGGTTGGTGGGTAGGTGGGTGGGTAGGTGGGTGGGTATGTGGGTTGGTTGGTGGGTGGGTAGATAGGTGGGTAGGTTGGTGGGTAGGTGGGTGGGTTGGTG